GCTAATTTTCAATATTAGTTTCTTCTAAAGTACCTTTAATTTTTTTTATTTGAAATAATTAACCATTTCACATTAATCTTAGATATAAAAAATATTTAAATATAAGATACTAAGAATTAATTAAAGGATAAATAAGAGGTCATAATGGATAATAGTTGTAATAGAGGAATCAAAGGAATACGAGCTTGCACGAGCTACCCCGAAAGATTACAGCAGGGGTTGACTCCCTTAGCCCACAAGGCAGCGGTGAAAAGATATGGGTGGTATAAGGAGAAGGATGGTTAGGATCAGTAATAGTTAGTTGATAGGAAGGAAAGGGTATAAGGTCAATGGATAGTTGTCCCATTAGTCGCCTTTTATGACAAGCGGTAAGACACTGTGGGCCTATTCTATTTTGCCCTCACTCACAGGGAATAATTGAATAGGCCCACAGTGTTTTTATAGCTGAAAATTTGGGAAAGAAAAGTCCTAAGAAAAATATATGGATTATGGAAAAATATATAAAAGAATAAATGATTAGTGGTGAATAAGAATATGAACTTTATAAGAATAACAATATTGTTGCCACTGTCAAAAGGCAACACTCCAGATGGTTTAGCCATGTAGAGAGGATGGAGTAAGATATATTACCAAGGAAACTGGATAAGAATAGCTACCGATAGGGAAGCCTGGCAGAAGCTTGTTTGTGAGGCCCAGATCTGTTAAGGACTATAGAGCATATTAATAAATAAATTTATTAGTACGTTGATAGATTCTGTCTTTTATGAACTGTCCTGTTTCTCCATAATATATCTCTGGGCAGTTCAAACAATTGATTTTGAACTGCATTTTTGTTTTTATAAATTTTATATTATTTAATAAGGTTGTTATTTTATTTGTTAGTTTATATCCAAATTTATATTCTGGTACATCATAATTTTTTAATGTTCTGTTTAGGCTTTGTGATAATTTATTAATATAAGTACATATTTACTTTCACTTATCTATGCAGGGTGTCCCGCAAGTAGAGGGGAGTTTTCACAGGAGTGATAGCAGACCTTAAGAGCTGCATAGAAGTTCTTATAAACAATTGCCCAATTTCTAGCAGTAAAGTAGGAAATTTAAGATTTGTATACATTGAAATTGCATAGTAGTACAGTTGAAGGTAGATAAAAAAAAAAAATCACAAATAATTTATTTGTTTGTCCGCTCAGTAGTCCTCCTTAAATAGTTTTAACAATCCCAAACTCTACTTTCGTTTGAAGAAAATTTTGTATTGTTTTCTATGGAGCAATGTTTAATTACTAAAATCAAATGTTTTTTTAGTTATCGCTTCCTATTCAACACACAAAATATGATCCACTTAAAAAAACACAAATCTTTAATTTCCTACTTTTCTGCTGGAAATTGGGTAATTGTTTATATGAACTTTTTTATATATCTTGATGCCTACTATCAGCCTTATAAATATTTTCCTCTACTTATGGAACATCCTGTATATGAAATGTATAGTAAATGGAAATATTGTGATTGTGAAAATATTCAAATCTGAGTTTTCAATGGAAATACATGTGTTTATGTGTGTATGTATGTGAACAGTCTAGCTCAAAAACGAATAGTCGTAAGAAAGAGAAGTTGCATATTTATGGTTTGTATATACCTGGGATGTTACAGCAACTTTTCCGTCAACATTAGCTAACCGGAAGTGGCACTACTTTTATATAATCGATTTTACACTTTTTACTATTTTCTAGAAAACGGCTCTAATAATTTTGATAAAACTCACCAGGTCAGTGTATTATTAAGTGGTTTTTAATTTAAGGTCGGTATTTTCCTCATTGATACAACCTGGCAGGACTTAAATGCGGATTTTTTTAAAAATGTCTTCCTCTAAAGTACCTTTAATTTTTTTATTTGAATAATTAACCATTTCATATGTAGAAATAACCATTTTACACTCTTATGTAAAAAAAGTTAAATGTAAAATATGAAAGAATTTGATAATTATCTAAAGGAGAAAGAAGACATTGTAACAGAGAATAGTTGTAATGGAGAACCTCAAGGAATGGGAACCCGAGCTCATCCAAAAGATTGGTTCAGATTTCCATAAGTAACATGAGCTTAATAATACGGACTCCGACAATATTATGTGTATATACATATGCAGTTCTCATAAATGTTATCGTTGGTATTATTTAATATTTAATTGTATAGATTACAGTGATATATAAATTACAATTTGTATATATACGGTACTTAAACAAATAAAAATACCCACAATAAAATATGTAGTTGCTTTATCAGTGGCCATCTTGTCAAACTAAAAATATTTCGTGACAGTTAATTTATATAATAAAATTAACAGTTGAAATATACAGTCGGAAAAGGAAATGACTAGTGTCAAACAAATAAAATATAATAAATAGAAGACTTAAAAACATATGTTAATATTTTTTACTTTCACTTCCTTTTGTCTTAAAATAATTATTTCTGCTAAGAAGAGGGTGCTAAGTGAAAGTTGTGTGATGCGCGCCTTGAACCAGATTTTTTGTATTTTAAATTACTCGTGACTCTAATCTATCAGCTTATTTTTCTTCTACTCAATTTAAAATATTGTTTTTATCCTTATCTAAATTTACATTCCAAAAGGTTTTAATAATATTTATTGGGTAAAAATTATCTAGAAATAATTCATATATTTTTATTTTTATTTTATTTACTTTCGATTCATCGGTTATTTTTATAGCTTCATTTATAAAATTGTTAATAACATTTATTTTCGTATTTTTAGGATGATTACAATAGTGATTGAGTTGATATATCATTTGTATTTTCTTTTTTTGACCATTGTGTAATTATTTTTCCATTTTATTTATTTATTTTTATGACTGAAAATTAATTGAATTTTCTGTTTCTATTTATTTGGTAGATTTAATACTTTTATTTTAGTTATTTAGCAGGCCAAAAAAAGTATCTATTTTATCTTTTTCAACTATACATAATAATGTCATCTACATTTTCTATACATAATTTTAGTTTAATGTTTGAATCCTTTATTACATCAGTTAATAATTTATTCATAAAAATACCTGATGGATTAATCAAGAGAACCGCTCTCAACTGCATTCCTTTTACATTTTTATTATTAAAACTAAAAAAAAACAAAACATTTTCAACACATAATTTTATACACTTAATTTTATACACTTAAATTTTATTCCAAATATGTACTTTTATTTTTTATGTTGGTATATGTTTCAATTTCTTTCCAATTTTCCTCTAAGATTTTAATTATATTTTGTAATGGTACATTGGTGAACCTAGATTCCACATCAAAACTTATTAGCTTTTCATTTTCATTTAATTTCATTTCTCTAATTCTTTCTTTTACTTCAATCACATTTTTTACATCATATACGTTATTCTTATTTAAAATGTCTAAACTTGGCTTCAAAAACGTAAAGAATTTATAAGTTGTGTTATCAATATCATTAACTATTGGTCTGAAATTAATTCCTGGTTTGACGAGCTTTATTAACCCATATAACCTTGGGATGTTGCCTTTTTTCAATCAATCTATTTTTTTATTTAGATCTATGTATTTTAGTTTGTGCAATTTAATAATATATTCTTCTTTATTTTTTGGTTTTTATTAAGGGATCCTTTACTAATTTTCTATAATTTTCTTAATTTTCAACCAGGTTACTCATATTGTTGATATAAAAGTTTTTATCTATTATTATTTTTTTCTTATATTTAGTTTAAGTGTTTAAAATTAATGTTATTTTTATTGCCATTATAATTATATGGCTTTTCAATTTTTATTTTATGAATTTTATTGAGTTTTATATATTATTATTTATATTGTTCATGTAAATAGTTTCTGTAATTTTTATTTATTTCTTTTTCCAACCTATCATTTTTCACTATTATACATTGTTTTGACCTTTTGTATCTTTTATTTTATTAAACAACCAATAGCTTTGCTTCAAATCTAGTTTTATCAAGTCTATTAACTTTAAATTAAATTAATTATATTTTCTATTATTAATGATGAAGTCATGATTAAAGCACTTTTCTCTATTAATCAGTGGGTATAAAATATGTTTTAAAGCTAAGTTCCTTGATAAACATGATTTTAAAAATTTTGCCCTTACACTGACTATACAGGGTGTTTCGTAATTGCCTGGCACTATTTTAGGTATGTGTTCACTAACACAAAATAAATGATGAAGTTCATATTAACATATATCTAAAACTCATTTATTAAACAGATATCAAATGTTAAAGATTTATTTTCTACATTAAGACTGACTGTACGAAGTTTAATGTATTTAATACTAAATAACGGCTTTTAATCACCTAATAAACAAATGAATGATAAGCAATGGCAGTAGTTGCTCATCTGTTTGTCTACTCCTGTGTGTTTCAGTGTGAGTGAATACTGTGACACAGTTCAATTTATGATTATCATGGGAGACACCATAAATTTATGCACTTTTGCAGAACAAACAGACATGCTTTTAACTTATGACAAGGTACATAGAAACGGTGCTGCTACTGTTCGAAGATATCGTGAAAAGTTTCCTAACCGAAGAATACCAAATCTTTAAACGTTAAGAGGCCATTGAAAGATACCTTAGGGATAATGGCACGCTATAACCTATACGAGTAAATACCGGTCAACAAAGATTTCGACAAACTGCATTTTGGTTACTGATGAATATGGCAGTTTTAGGGATATTCAAATGTGATCCGGGGGGAGTGGAGGGAGAGGCCGAGGTCGAAAAGTTGAATTTTGGATTTCAGTCTCATCCCGTACAAGAAAAAATAAAAGAAACCTTCTACCCCCATTTTATGCAACTTAAGATGTACAAAGTTACTGGACTAGATCATAAACATCTATTTATGGTTGTTCAAGATATACAAATGTTTGGGGAGAGTCCTTGTCAGTGATAAGTTACATTTTTTATTTATCTTACATTATTATATTGATTTAAAATGAACACTTATTCTTACAGGGAGTGGAAAAACCATTTTAGAAGGATCAGCTGCATGCGAGGAAGCTGTTAAGACTACATCTGTTACACCCATTACAGGTGCTAAATTAATCCTTTTATTTACTATTATATTAATAAATATATAAATAGGTAGACTGTGTAATTTATTGTGAACATTAGAAACAACACTCTTTTTTATATGATCTGGTTTATTTCTTGGAGTTTTCGGTGCTCTGTACCATATTCATCTAAAAAATTTACTACATGCATATATACCACAAAATACATTATAATTTCCAATTGTCACATAAGATTCTACTGTGTTTTACATACCTTTTCAAGCTGATTCCATCCACTTTGAATTTTGTTCTTTAAACATTTGAAATATGCAATATCATGCTTGTGCAGAAGGGTTTCATGTTTAGAGATAGCCCCTTTCGAAAGTTCTAGGCCATTCCAAAAGCCTAATTTTTTTATATAACCGCCTATGGGTGTCAAAAACTAGGAGTTTTACCCTAAATATTTATTATATGTTCATGCAAATCTAATAAGATTAATGGTATGAAAAGTATATCTAAGAAAATTAGGCTTTTGAATTGGCCTAGAACTTTGGAAAGGGGCTATTTCGAAACGTAAAACCTTTCTGCACAACCATGATATTGAATATTTCATTATTTATCTTGTTTTTGTAGTTAAAAAGGGCTCTGAAGGTTAAGTTCGCAAAGGGTGAAATTTCAAAAAGGATATGCTTTAATTTTTTGCTAGGAAACACAAATTTATTTTTCAAAAAATTGTTAGATGTAAACTAATATTTTTATTTATTTGTTTTTTATCTTATTTTTAATTTATCACTGTTAGTGAAGAACATAGAAACAGCCTTAAATTTCCATTTTTTTTTAAAATTATTTTAAACGGTTGCTGAAAACTGATCTGTGAAAACTGGAAATATTCAATTTTCGGCACCTATATTGCAAAAACTGGACTCCCGCTGATTACCTTTTAGCAACTCTCTTAGCTCTAGTTTCCCATCAGGATATCTATTTTTGAACAGGAAGGGGAATGAAATTACAATTGAATTGGTCTTAAAATTTTATTAGCAACAATCAAATGTTTTTGTATTGAAAGTAAATCAACATTAAATGAATTACTAAAAACCTATAAAATGATTGACATTTATCATTAAAAATACATTTTTAAGAACCAAGAAAAATGAATTAAAATATTTGGCATAAAGAAATAAAATCAAAATGGTATTAATAATGACTGAAATATATAAAAATTATTTTTATTTTCATTATAAATCCAATAAAGAAACAAAATATTAAAAAGATATAAAAAAAAAAAAAAAATTAAACAAATATTTCTTGGGTATTGTGGAATGCTAAAAATAATCTCATTTTTATTTAATAACCAGAACAACGGCTACCTTCTTGACATTTAAAATTTTTTTTTTGTTTATTTATTTTTTGAAAAAATAATATTTGTTTCAATAGTCAGATTTTAATATCAATATAATTAATACTACTCTTTTTCCTATATTCCCTACTAACTGACATACCTCTCGCTTCTAGTGAACCTATTATGGCCTTGTCAATAGAATAATAAAACAACATCGAACAAAAACACAAATATAAAAACCACTGTGCATAATCCATTTCCTTATTATTTAGGTCTTTTAAAGGAGATTTGGTAATTCTCGTTTTGACTTGTGTTTTTGCAAAACCTTTAATAAAACCATTTTGATTTTTATGGTGTTTGACATGTTTTCGTAATTCCTTCTCCTAAACCTTCTGAATGATTTGGCGCACAATTTAGGCGTCCAGGAAAGTATATTTTAATATCACCTTGGTGTTTAGAAATTTTATTCCATAACTGAAACTGTTTACTTTATGTGTATGTTTCTGCTACCATTTACAGTAAAAAATATTCAATATACATATGTCTGCAAATGCTTTCAACCAAAATACAACCATTAAAAGTTGAAACCAAAGTGCTAGATGAGTATAACATAGATAAGTTAGCCCTAGTTCACCCACGTCAATACGAAATCGTAACTTTCTGAAAACTATCGTTGAATGTAAAGCAGATAACAATGATCAAGATTTGTTATTAGAGATTACTGAAGGTGATCCGTCTACCAGTATGCTTTGATTGATTAAAACATATTAAGTGAGTTTGTTGAGAATGAACACATGGGTTTTATTGTGAAAAATGTTCTACAAGTTTTTATTTTTTCAACTTGTAAGTGTAAACATTTTTTCGAACTTAAGTGCAAACATGTAAGAAACGAAAATGCGTGGGCCACTTTCGGAGAACTTTCAGCAACTAAAAAACCTTAACATATTGTTTTTTTTCATCTACAACTCCTGAACAGTGCATCCCTGAAATGCACGTGATTTAATTTAAAAATGTTGATATTCATTCGGAATTTGATCCCTTGCAACTTTTATTCTATGTTTTTTTTTAGTTTCTTCTTATTGAGAACTCATTTCCAAGCTGCAGAGTCATTTACAGTAATATTGGGTTGGCAAGTAAGTCCTTTCGGTTTTTATTTTTATTTTTATATAAATATGATACACTTCTTATCTGATGAAGTAATCTATAAGGTGGATTGTTTATCTTGTTTGTTATATGTCAACAACTATATCTGTTGACTCTTGTTGAAACTAGCTTAGTATTTTGTTTGCTATTGCTCTGTGAATATGGAAGAAAATGTCATTCATTATCGGTATATTTTACTGTATAATTTTAAAAAAGGTTAGTGTGCTGCAGAAGCTCATAGAAAGATTTTCAGTGTTTATGGGGATGATGCCTTAACCGAACGCCCTTGACAAAGTTGGTTTATCAAATTTCATTCAGGAAATTTTGGCATCAATGATGCTCAATGGTCTGGTCGTCCACATGAAATTGAAACGAGCAATGTTAAGGCCATTATTGATCAAAATGCCCCCTAATCAGTGCGAGAGATTGGTATGGCCCTAAATGTATTACCAGGAATTTAAGGGCACATAAACTACACAAAATGACATCAACAGGACCTTCGTAAACAAACTACAAATGGAAATAAAAAATAAAAACCTATAAGGAGTTTTTGTTTATTTATTCCTTATGTAGGCATTAAATAAAAAAAACATTCATATGGCTTTGAAGAGCAATAATTCAGCTTTTCAATGGATATAGTAACATCGAATTTGGAGAACATCCTGAAGAATTATGAATGATCGGAAAGGTGTTGTGTCCTATCAAGACAATGCTAGGCCCCATATCTCATGGGTCACTCACAATAAATTATTGAGCCTTCGATGGGACCTTTTGCCCCACCCTCCCTATTCACCAGACCTAGCTCCAAGCGACTACCACTTATTCCGGTCTCTGCAGAACTCCAGGAATGAAATGAAATTCCAAAAGGAAGAAGACATCGAAAACCACTTGAATCAGTTTTAACAATAAACTCGACATTCTATGAACATGGCATTATGCAGTTAGTGGAAATATGGGGAAAATTCGTATTAAATAATGGCCAATATATTGTAGATTAAAATAAATTTTATGTCTATAATACACTGAGTTTTATTTCACCCAGAAAAACTGAAAGGACTTATTTTCCAACCCAATATTTCTCAGTTTCAAGATATATGAACAAGGTATAGTAATATATTACCAAGGTCTAGTAATTGATTGTAGAGCTTGGATGATGATGATGATATCTCAGTTTTGACGAAGCCTGTCAAAATTAACATTTTTGACCATCGTTTTCGACCATTCTTCTTGACCAAATTATTGGTGGTATTCATTTAAGGCAGAATTTAACATTATTTAATTTCTTAAAGATTAAATAATTTGCTTGAATGCACCATTCAGGACTTATAGGCGAAAACATATCTTAAAACATGGAGGTATTTTTGGGCGTCAAACGTTCTCCCTCTAGAAGAAGCCTGTTTTTAGTGTTTTCATTTTGTTCACGTTTTTCTGCATAAATTATGTATATATATTTTTTTTCTGTTGTCTTGACAGATCTTGTAGATCTCTTGCTTCCTTAACAAGCCTGCTCCATCTCTGCCTGTCTTGGACTATTTCTTTCTGGTTATCTGTATGCAGCTGTATTGTATCATTGTTGATTTTTCTCTCCATATATACTAGTTAATAAAATCAAAACTGCTATCACAATTTTCATAACATAACCACTGTTTCAATCCTCAACTGACTTATTATTTTTAAAATCAGTGGCGTTGGAATGGCAGACAAGGTTCATTTAAAAAAAAAAAAATATATCAACTTTATTCTGGAACAATGAAACTTAAGAATAACAATATTTTTCATACAAATTAGCATTTAATCTGGCCAAAAGATCTAATACATAAAAGAATAACTGAAACATAAGTAATAAAACAGGTACATACGTAGCTTAAAGATATATTAATGAAAGCAGGTGAGCCATTGGATTACAATATTGCAATATCGCTGCTTAAGAAAAATAAAACAAAAATAAGTAAATAAATAAAATAGGAAAGGATCATTAAATTAATTTGACGAGAAAACCATTTTAGAGACAAAAAGAAAAAAAAAATACAGAAAAGTAAGTAAAGAAAATAAATTATTTATATATGTTACTTAAGAGCTTTGAATGAATACTCACAATGATAATGTAAACAATTAAATAGTATTGTAAACTATATACAAAAATGTAGATTAAGAGGGGGGAAATATACATATATGCATAGTGAGGAAAGTAAAAATAAAATACATATAATCTTGTAAACAGAAAAAAATACAAAAAATAAAAACTAACAATTTCTTCTTTTTCTTTCTTCATTACGATGCTCTGTCAAAAGTGGTACTGAATCTTTTCAAATTCTTAAAAAATAAATAAAAATACATAGAATCCTGTAAATTAAAAAAAAAAAAAGCCATTTCTTCTCTGTCAAATGTGCTGTAGAATGTTTTCCAATTCATAAAAAATAATTGTGTATAAAAAAATAAATAAAATCTTGTTACATAATAAAAATAACCAGGGTCTGATTGGATGGTGAATAGGAATTGGAATAAGAGGGTTTTAAATGTGGATAAGTATGGTGCATGGCGGATTATATGTGGGATGGAATTCCCATTAGTAATTGGAAGTAGTAATTTAATTATTTGGTACTCAAAAAAGGTCAGTATTGGTACTTAGTACTCAGAATAGCATTTGCCCATCTCTGATATTATTGAATCAAATTTCTGCATACTGGTTTACCTCTTGCATTCCAGTTCTAGGAAACTAGAAATTGCTTTATCCTTTTTCATTGCTGATTGTATTTTTGTAAGATAAATATTTCTTTATGTTTTCATGTATTCCTAGAAAACTATATGTTCTTAATAATTATCTTTTATTCCAATATTATCGATTGAAAATTAGTTTTGATTATTTTTATTTAATTACATTTAAAAAGTAAAAAATAAATATTGTCATTTATTTTTGCCTTCCTTTTTGACTGACCACCCCAACTATTCTTCTCTTCATTATTTAATTACATATTTGTTATTATAGACATGGGCCAATCCAGTAGCAGACCAACCTTGTCAGTATCACATATTGCAACATCTCCTCATACAAGTTCAAGTTCAACTGATAAGACTGATGAAGAAGATAACTTATTCCATGGGATCTATATTCCTTCAGAAAGTGAACATATAAAAACTACAGGTTTAATTTTTTTTTTTTATAATTGTTTCAATTTGTTGAATTCTTATGTAATAATTACATATATTATAATAAAACAAATACATAATTACAAATATAATATAATATATTTGTTGTGGTTGGTTTCTATTCTCCAATTGATTTCCATATTCCAATTAAGACCTCTTTTAATTTATCTTGTTATAAAATTATGTTTAAATTTATTTATTTTCTGATCTTCAACCCATTGAAAGATAAGAGGATGTCTCAGGAAGGTACCTCTGCCCAGGGGTTGATATAAGGCTGTTTATAACAATATATAGTTCTTTATTGAGTCCACTAGCTTTCCTACTGTTCCTATTTCTCTCTCAGCGAACGGAGGTAGCTTCTGAAAGAGAATTCTTGAGTGAATTTTATATGCACATGATACCAGAGATATTCCACAATAGTTGTGACAATCCAAGATATCACCTTATGGATCGGGCAGATGATTGTCTTGTACCAATCATCTGGTAATACTTCATCCACCCATATTTCCATGATAACCTTATGCATAAATCTTGTGAGTTCTTCCCCTCCATACTTAAACAGTTCCGAGGGTATCCCATCCGTCCCAGGAGCTTTATTGTTTTTCAGGAATCCTATGGCGTTTTCCACATCTTCCATGTCGGGAGGCTCCAAATTACCAACCGGCAGTTCCTGCCTCTCCACTCTACAGCAGGGGATATTGTCATTTAAGAGCCTTTGAAAATAGCATTTCCATGCTCCATTATTTTGTTCTTATCAGTGACTAAGTTGCCCTCTGTGTCCTTGCAAGCACTGGTCTGGGGTTTGAAAGTTCTAAGGCTCTGGTTGATACGGTTGTAGAATTTCCTGATTTCATTTTAGCCTCTTATGTTCTCTATCTCTTCCAGTTGTTTCCTTTATCAGGTCCTTTTCTTTCTCTGAAAGAGTCTTTTTTCTTCCCTTCTTCGAGTTCGGTATTCTTCTATAGAAGTTTTTGTGTGCCTTTGCTGGACCATCTGCCGATAAGTTATATTCTTAATAATAGTGGTCCTCTGACAATCCTCATCATACCATCCTGCTTTCCATGTAAGTTCTTGATATCTGATTGTTTCATATCCGACTTCTACTATTGCCTCCTTGCAACTACTCCATTGTTGGTTTAAGTCTCCGGATTCACCGGGGTTTCTTATCTTGTGATTCATATGTCTAGAGAAGCTTTCCTTCTTCTCATAATCTTTGAACACCTTCATGTTAAACCTTTTCGCTGGACTCGAACCATTGAAATTTGCACTCTGATCCGGTCAATTGTGAGGTAGTGATCAGAGTCAATGTTTACCCCTGCTGTAAACTCTGATATCCGGTAGACTTGAAATGTGTCTAGAGGACATCAATAAATGCTCTATCTGGTTACAAGTGACACTGTCGTTAGACCGCCAAGTTGCCAGATGAATCCTTTTATGGGGAAACCTTGTGCTTTCTACCGTCAAATCTTTTGAGGCTGCAAAGTTTATGGTTCTCTGACCATTTTCATTTGTGACATTATAAATGTTGTGTAGACCTGTTGTGGGTCTATATTGAGGTTCTTTTCGTATTTGGGCATTGAAATCTCCAATCACAATCTTGATATCAGCTCCCGGACAACTATCAATGCATCTTTCAAGATATTGGTAATAACGATCCTTTTCATCTTCTTCCGATGGTTCCGTTGATGCATGGATACTCATAATGCTGAAATTATAGAATTTACTTCTCTTTCGAAGGTAGCATTTTCGGGAAGAAATAGTATTAAATACCAACAATGAGTTGAGCCTGGTTCTTTTTGATGATGAACCCAGATCCATAGGTATGCAGATGATCATGACAGCTGTAATAGATAGTATGATTTTCCTTGTTAAACATTCGCTGGCCTGTCCACCTTATTTCTTGGATCGCAGCTATGACTATTTTATATCGGTCTAATTGTGTTAGGAGTTGCTCTAGACCTCCTGGTCGGTATAGTGATAGAGTGTTCCATGTTCCAAGTTTAAAATCCATTAGACGGTTGTTGTGTCATTGCCTGAGGTTCAGTCCGGCTTGTCTCTGTACCGGCTTCACAATGATTAAATTTAAGGGGAGGGGGTTATCAGCCCAGACTCTGTCCCCGAGTCAGGTTAAGTGGCTGCCTCAGAGGAATATGTAAGGCTGGATTCATCTGAGGAAGATCTATGGTCGACCAAATATTCGGTATTAGAATAATCCTAGAGAGTGCAAGAGTGTATAATATATGCACACACTACCTCTTCATAGACTTTGAGAGAGCTTATGATAGCATCCTAAGAGATGAGCTCTACCAAGATATGTTGGCCCTGGATGTCCCACCTAAACTTGTGCGATTGATACAAGTGTCAATGAAGAAGGCTCAATGCACTGTCCAAATCCAAGGCGATATGTCGGACTACTTTGAAATGCAGAAACGAAGGAGATTGCTTAGCGTGTTTCCTATTTAACATTGCCCTCCAATGTGCCATTAGAAGATCCCAAATTCAGATTGGTGGAACAGTCTTTAATCGTTCAGTGCAATTACTAGGATTTGCCAATGACATTGCATTTGTTGGAAGAATTCAGGCAGCTATACAAGATACTTTCTTAGTGCTACAAGGAGCAGCAGCTAGAATTGGCTTAAAGGTTATGCTGGCCGACCCAAAGGGTGGAAGCCACAGAGAGGCAAATGTAGAAATCGGAGGGATGAATTTTGAAGAGGTCTCGGAATTTATATTCCTTGGCTCTCAAGTGAATGTAAACTGTAGCGCATCATGGCTGCAAATATAGCTTATTTTGGTCTCCAGGGACATCTCAAAAGTAAAGTGATCTCTCGTAAAACCAAGCTGCTCCTATACAAAACCCTGATCAGACCAGTACTAACATATGGGTCTGAATGTCAACAGACCAAGAAACAGCTCTCCTTCAATTTGAACGTTGTGTCCTAAGAAGAATATTCGGCCAAATAATAAATATGAATCAGGAGCGACGAATGCGATCCAACAATGAGTTGATGAAGCTATATAAAGAAGCCGATGTGAGGCTAATAAAAATTGGCAGGTTGTGATGGGCAGGACACATTGTTTGTATGTCTGAACAACATGTGCTATGGAAGTTGATAGATGAACGGATCTTCATCACAAGGCGGGTAGGCAGACCGAGACTCAGATGGGCTGATGGAGTGGAAGCCGACGCCCGAAGTATCCTTGGTGTCCACAACTGAAAGGCAGCAGCACTACTTGGACAAGACTGGCGGTTGAAATTGCGGGAGGCCTTGACTGCAGGGGTTGTAGAGCCATTCATGATGATGATGATGACTAGCTTTCCTACTGAGGTACTTAATGGCAACCTCTAGATTTTTGTTATCAATATCTATGTATATCAATAAACAAATAAAAAAAATTAATGTGTGCATATATTACACTTGATATAACCTAATGATACCAAAGAGAGTTGGTATTCTATATATAAATATTTATGGATTTTTCTAGTTTTTGAGTTGTTATTTTATTTATATTGATAAAAACCTCTTCAGAACTGTTTGAAATTGAGCTCTTTTGTTAATTTGTACTCTCAGTCAAATAATGTTGTAAAAGCATTGGAGGACTGTTACAGAAAGATATATGATTACGAAACATTCGACATATGCTGTTAAATTTGAAGTGTTCAAATTTATTTTTACGCATATTTATGATAAATTTTGCATTACTCTTCTCCTGCAAGAAAACTACATAACGTATAAAAGAAGCAGAACATAGTATAAATGGTGAGAGTGGAAATAGAAACCAGAAACTACAGTTTTTTATATAGATGAAAACTAGAAGATAAGATGAAGTTGTAGCTACTGAGGGTCATGACGATTGAAGTATCAATATGAACGAATGTTTCCAGGATAACGAAATATTGTGACGTAAGAATAAGCTGGTTGCTCGACCTAATAGCAGTAAAGAGGTGGAAATAATCCATAAGGATCGATAACATATAATATTTACTTTACATGTATTGCTTTTATTATATTGAACTGTTAGTTTCTCTTACAGAAATAAACCTTTTGCTTTTCTTTAATTTCTATTGTCTTGTTTAATTTTAATTTTTTTTTTCTCTTGTTTTCATGACTGCAAATCATCTGTGTCCTGTAAAATGAACGAACCCAACAATCTCTTACTTTTCAGGAGAGCAACTTTGACATGACTTTTTAGAACGTAATGTTATTATCGCCATTATTATGTGGATATATACAAGGGGTTGTCCGGGAATATGAGTTGTTTTTACACATCAGTAGTTATTCATGTCATGAACCTGCATTGGTGGTTATCCTTTCTCCAATTTGTTTAATTCTCCCTTTTTTTAGATTATTAATGAAATGTGTATTAAAAAAAAAAGTATGCAATTACAACCCATGCAGGGTCTTGGACACAGCTGCTGACTTTCCATTCTGATAGGTGGACGATGGACCTCCCACTAAAAAAGTCTCAGAAGTTTATATTATGTATGAGTGTTAATTAACATAATTGTTGTAAAACAAACAATACAATATTATATATAAAAATAAATGTATGTAAATTTTTATATAATAGGTTTTTTGTCTTCCATTATTCAAATATTTCTATACTTGTTCCCAAGTATGAAAATATTTGAAAATATGTTAACAAAGCAATTGAATATATTACATATTTTTATTGAAAGGTTTGAGACAGTGAGATAACTCTCATTATTTTGATACTTCAAATTAGCTGTGGGAAACGTAATAAAATCTTCAGATAAAACTGAAAGGGTGCATATGAATAAATCATACAATCCTAGAACATGTTGCTACATATAATTATTTTTTAATATACAAAATTTCAATTACAGAAACATAAGACATGGTAAAATACTTGCATGCCAACTTCTAGGTCTTAGCTTAGCTATCTAGTCAACCTTTTCTATTTCTTTAATTTATTTTAGTTCAATCTCTGAAGTCTGCTCCTATGGTCTTGGATTCAGTACATTGTATGGAAGTATTGTTTCAAAATCAACAGTTGTGGAAGGAGGTGATCAGGATAGTTGTGACTATTTTCGTTATGATATACACTGCAAAAAATTCCACCCACTTGATTTTTCATGTTTTCATCTAAAAATATTTCTGCTTTGGATTGGTCTATTGTTTTTAATGAATAAATAGGTAATCTTTTTGTTTGTTTTCAATTAGGAATGTTAATATAGAGGAAAATAACCCTTAATCCTTAATTCAATGAAATGATTCTAGATTCCAATGTTTCCAAGATTCCAAAACGAACCATTATTATTCTAAAAGAAATTAATTACATCATCGTTTAGTAGCGCGTGTTTCCTCCTCTTGCCTTCACTACTTCTTGAAGACTGTGTTCCTTTGCTGGAGGATAGCCCATTCCTCCCGAAGAGCCCTTTCAAGGTCCTGCAGTGTATCAGGAAGTGTTGCACGAGCTCTTGTTCATCTTCCGAGGTTATCCCATAAATGCTCAATGGGGTTCAAATCTGGAGAACGTGCTAGCCAGGCTAAAACCTCAATATTGTTCTGTTGAAAGAACGTCTGCACTATGCGGGCGATATGTGGGCGTGCATTAGAATAGAACGATCGCCGATTTCGTTGAGGATAATAAACACATGAGGTTCCAAAATCTCATCTACATAGCGAATGGCTGTCAAAGACCCTCCGCGAACAACAACCAATTCTGTGCGGAGCTCCATTGAAATCCCAGCCCTCACCATTAAGGAACCACGTTGGAAAGGTTGGCTCTGGGAAAAATTACAGGCTGCATATCTTTCGTTTCTTCTTCTCCACAGCCTTTCACGCCCGTCTGGAGATCGAAGAGCGAATCTTGACTCATCTGTAAAAAGTACAGCACTCCATTCGTCCATAGTCCAATGGCTGTGTTCTCGAGCAAAAGCCAGCTGTGAGTTCTCTGTTACTCTTACTCTGTGAATTCTGGTCAACTCTGGTCCTCTTACTGGACGAAAAGCCATTAATCCATACTCATTTAATCTTCTCCGAGCTCTACGTTCAGAAATTTGCACACCTCGAACTTCTTCGAGCTGATGAATCGCTTGAACAACGGTAAGGTCCGGTTTTGTAAAATTCTCAAAGTCAAAAACCGGTCATCCCATGCCCATAGGCCGTCCAGAACCGGGCCTTCTATTGTAAGAACCAGTTTCCCGAAAACGCCTGAGGCGTCTCGTAAAGTTTCATATGGAACTCCGATGGCATTAGCTGCATATCTAAGGGAACGTCCATCATCAATAGGTTCCACACCACGTGCAACATCCTCAGCACTAAGAGGCATATTTAAATTTAATATTGAAAAAATTAAAAGCCGGAGACTAAGAAATGTGCTGCAAGAAACGACACTCAACTAAGATACTGAATAAACATTTTGATTCCATAGGAAGTACACATTGGAATCTAGAATCATTTCATTGAATTAAGGGTTATTGTCCTCTATATTAACATTCCTAATTGAAAACAAACATAAAGATTAAGATCATTAAAAACAATAGACCAATCCAAAGCAAAATATTTTAGATGAAAACATGAAAAAATCAAGTGGTTGGAGTTTTTCGGCTGTCACTGTATATGTAGTTTTTTACATGTATTTGTAATATTAGCGCCGTTATTAATGATTTGTGACTTAAACCTTCTAACATTTATTTTTTATTGTAGATATCTTTGTATACACTGATAAAAATGAAGCGCTTCGCGTTCTCAAGCAAAATAAAAAGGCTAGAATGAAGTCTTTTGTGCGTAAAGAAGATGCTATTCAATTCTCCACATTGGGTGGTATTAAATGTGTCATTGAGAATTCAAATAACCCTGAGAAGACATTTTACAAAGGTCCCAAATCTCAAGATTTAGTGAAGTTCAGAAAAGCTATTGAGATGGCTGACATAGATTTTGTGAAAAAGCTGATAGATGAAAATCCTCGTTACTTGATCAGCAGTGGTGATACTCCTTCTATTCTTCAGGTTATAATTTTTGTAATTAATTAAGTTTATAAAATAAAATAGACTGAAAGTCTGCTGTTAAGGAATTATGGACTAAATATTTGACAGAAAACTTAAAATTAGTTACTTAAAATGAGATAATTGTTGTAAAAGGCTAAAATGGGGCTAGATACTGGTTTTTAAACCTTGCAATCAATTAATTAACTGAGTTGTTACATTTTAAAGAGAAGTTATTTGCTGGGTAATGTCTCTTTAGTCCAGTCAATGAATGCTCCAAAAAGGGAGTGTAGAAGTAAATGGCGGGGACACAAGTTTTGATTTTGGGACATTGTTTGGAATAGTAAGGTGGTAACTATATTAAAATCCCCACTCCTTGGTGGTGAGCAAGATGTGGAGGGGGGGGCGCCTAGTAGGTCAAGTTTTTCGGGATTTCACTATCCGGATTCAGTGATACTATCCATTGCATCCACAAAGACGTTCTATACAAAATTAAAGCTAAAATTAGCAAAAATACTTTTTTCGCTACCTTGCTTAGTTTCAGAGATATCCATCTTCAACTATGGCTAATTTTGAAAAAAAAAAAAAATTTGCCTCATGTTTATTCCCGTTTTTCGGGTTTTCGCTTATATCAGGAAAACTATCCATCAGATCGACAAAGACGTTCTATACAAAATTAAAGCTGATAAAATTTGCAATATGATTGATAATATACCTTTTTTTGCTTTCTCGCTTAGTTTCCAAGATATCCATCCTCAGCTATCGCTAATGTGGAAAACATTTTTGTTTACCTCATGCTTTTTACTGTATTTGACTAGCTAATTCTTGATTTCTTCTTTTTACCATTAAGTCATGGGGAGGAAAGTTTTTAATAATTAAATTTTCTTCAAGAATATATATTATTTTACTAGTTTATCACCAATGTGTCAAAAGTTAGATCAATTATAACTTTATATGCCAATTCCCAAAATTTGCAGAAAAAATAATTTTTATTATATTCGTTATTATTATATTGCTCTAAATCTCTATGTTTATATATCATACATATAATAATGTATATTGTTCTCATTTGGAAACTTTCTTGATTTTGATGCCGTGCTTCCGAAGATTTTTAATGAGTGGTGCTGAAGTTCTTGTAGCTGTGGAGTGTAGATCGATCTTTTTGTGGCTGTTGACGAAGGTGTATTTGTTACTGGAAAAGTGGAAACCTATATGGTCCTGCTTTAGGAATTTTGGTTTATTGAGTTTTGCTGACTTCTAAGGCCTTCCAGTGGTCCATAGCAATCCTTGGAAACATACAAAGGTAGCTGAAGTTTTTTTCACATTTTAAGATGCACTATTGACTTTGGCCCATATCATACAAATCTAGGAGAATGGTTACTGTTGCTTTAGGTTTAATCATATTGCACAATATATGCATTATTAAATATGCTTTATTTTGTAGTGTCTCAATCTATTATTTTATATAGGTAGTTTCGAAAATCCACTCATTAAATGTTACTTTGGTAATTTTATAAAAAAAAAAAAAAATAGTAGATTTTTACATCTTAATATGGCTTTAATTATCATTACAACGTAGTAATGATAATTAATTATCATTACTACGTTGTTACTCTTTTTTTTTAAATTCAGATATTTTAAGTGCAATTGCAGTAGATGAGTTTGAAACCAGTCTTTAGCATCAATCTTAAAAGTATTCAATATTGCTTTGTCTAATTTCAGGCTTGCTAGATAAACAACTATATTTTTTGGATAATTTTAAGATGGATGTTGACAATCCCCTTTTCTATCTTGAAATTCTGCAAATTCTTGATAAGTTTCTACACTCCTTAATTAAATACGTGGATGCTTCATTTATATAGTTTATTCATGAATGTATTATTAATTTGGATTTTCACTTTTTTTATGAGAGCTCTATAAATATTTTGCTTAACTGTGGGAAGCAGTGCTGATATTGCCTTTTTTGTTTGCCTTGAGTCTCTAACTGGAAAATGGTTGCAACCTGTAACTCGTTCTTCGTGTCATTTTTCAGAGGTACTGTCCTTCACTTTCCTTTTTGATTGTTGCCCTATATTTTTTTTTGTTTGTTTAAATTAAACGTATGTAATTAGGTCTCACGGCTCCGGCCATGTATCAGGATTGGTAGTGTTGAATTACCTAAATAGTTGGATTAGTGAACGTATTTTTAAATATCAACAAATAGATGTGAAAACATATAATTAATTACCTAAAAAAGCTGTTGAGAATATTTTATTGAAATGAATAAAGATAATTAAAATAAATAAATATATATATATATATATATATATATATATATATATATATATATATATACATACAACTTTTCCTTAATCGACCTTTGGGTATTAAATTTAAACAACTATTTAATTGGGAATAAGGTCACTTAATTATTATTCAATAAACTACTGAATGTTCATTTCTTCTGTTTATTGACGTTTCGATCCCGGTATTTTCTTTTTATTAGTCAACCTTGGGATCCTCTTCAAAGCTAGAATTTTAAACAATAGAGCTTCGATCAGGCCAGGGACACACCGACAGTCTCAGCACCGTCCACTAGCACATATATTAAGCTACTATATGTAAATTCAGTAGTTTATTGAATAATAATTAAATAACCTTATTCCCAATTAAATAGTTAAGTTTAAATATATATATATATATATACTAAAAATCACTATTATAACATATAGAAAATATTTTAAACAACTCATTGATGTGTACTTTTTGTAAATAATGAAAGAATGAAATGTTAAACCAGTAGTTGAGGTGAGCGACAGCATGAAAAACAAAAATCTCTAACACCGTTTCAAATGGCACCAATCATTTGAGCGTTTATAAAACAGAAAAGAAAAGATAATTAAAACTTTAAATATAGTAAAACAAATGTACTTATCGTTGTGAATAAAGAGAATAACATAACAAATAATAAACCTTATGGACTTGAATATGAAATATTAAAATTAATAGCCCTCATTAAACTTAAAAATTTGTACACAATTTAAAAATACTGCAATAATCACTGCAGTTTTTGTCTTTTTAATGATTTAGTTATGTTTAGTGCACATTTACTAGTTGTATTTTGTTTATAATACAGTTGTAAATTTAGTGAATAAAAAAAAAAAAAAATTATCAAGTTAACTTGTTGTAAGTGAAACTCCTAGCTGAACACACCTCCCTAAAGAAGACCTGCAAAGTCGGGTCGAAACGTCGGCTTTCAATAAATTAGTTTTACCACTATTTAGCCTATTTATCAAGTTATGTTTGTATATGTTCATAATTTTACAAAGTTTTGTTACTATTTTAGAATTTTTCTAATCTTGTTAAATTGAATGTAAGATTCATTTGTTGCAGGAAGGATCTCGTTATAATGCTTTGCACGTTGCTGTTAAATCATACTCTGCTAAAATGTGCTATTTTATTCTGTCAGTAATATCAAATGTGGAGTTTTTCCAACGTTTGTATGGAATGAATAATTCCAATAATGAGGAACGAATTAATGTATTGCTTGATCTATATTTAAACATGCCCGATAAAGGATGTAATGAAACACCATTACATTTTGCCAGCAAACTTGGAGCTCTGGATGTAATTAAAGTACTGGTGTGTTATCCACAGTGTGACAAAACTAGGCGTAACAAGGACGGATTGATGGCTGTCGATGTAATCCTTTATATTTTATTATTATTATTTTTAACTATTAAGTTAAATAAATTTGTATTATGAAGCACTACATTTTTTTATTGCTTAATAACATTTTATCTGCAATAAAAAGTAAATCCATCATTATATTATTCTTACAGTATTAAATGACTTTTCTATAATCTATAGACATCTTTCATATGTTAATTTTCAAATTTGTACAGTGTCAACTCCATAAATTTATTACTAACTGCTAATGACTTCAGAATATTGTTAATAGTATATTGATGAAGTGTTGTGTATTATTTCTGGATTTATTATTAATTTAGTTTATCTGTGAACAATAGCAATTTGAATAAAAAGAAACTACAAGAAAACAAGATTAGCTCTTGTGCTTGATTCTTTGACTTAGTTGACAGTAACACTGGTAAGTATTCTCTATTAACTCTCACAATCACTGCAGTTTTTGTGATCATTGACCCCATTTTTGTCTTTTAACTCTTACCAGCATCTGTTTCTATCACCTCTACATTAGAGATGATGAAAACAAGTATTTTTCAATAACAGGTACAACCAATCCAGTTCCAAAAAATGCCTTTTACAAAATACCTATTACTCTAAAACCAACTGCTGTCAGTATTAGTGGATTTATATACTAAAGATGCCTCTTACACATGTCAATAATATTGTCTTAATATGTTATAGAGTTATGTTTAAGTAAATTACTGGTCCTCTTCATAAAATATTGTGGGGGGAGCATATATATATATATATATATACACACATACATACATACATACATACATACATACATAAAGCGCATCGCTTAACTATATTGAGCCTAGCAATGCTGATTCAAATCCAGCCTCGACAGGTTAAAATTTATTTGCTGGTAGTCCCATGGAATAAATTTTGACCTTCCCACTCTGGCTAGAATAGTTTTGGTTGTACCTCTAGAACAATCCCTAGAGGGATATTCAACAATGCCAAGGGGGATATTCAAAACTGCTGAATAGGATTGGGTGTGACAAAGTGATAGCCATGCACTCTGACACACTAATCCGTGAGTATCTAGACTGCAAATATGAGGTCGAGATTGATATGAGCAGACAACATAAACCAAAAAATGGTATAAATTGTTAATACACTGACAGTCAGGCAGCATTAGGTGCCCTAAATAATTATTATGCATACTCAAACGTTGTTAAAGAATGCAGTATAGCACTTAACAATCTGTCTTAACAGCTAAAGCTTAATAGAGTTGCAATTGAGTGGATGCCTGGTAACGAAGAGGCAGACAATCTAGCCAGGTTAGACTCAGATACTATTCCCATAACTTCTGAACCTGTTTGTGAAATCAGTCTTAGCATTGCCAAAAGAAGGATTAGGGAGTTATCTGGTGAAAAATTGAAACAACACTGGACTGAAAAGAAACAATGACATTCGAAGCTGTTCCTTAAAGATCCATGTGATAAAAAAAGTAAGCTGCTACTGGGTGGACAGTGCAGCTCTTGAAAAGCTTACAGAAATTTATACTGGGCACTAAGTTAAATTATCACATGTTCAGTCTCCAAATGACCTCGAACCCACTATGCAGATTCTGTCATCAGGACAATAAAACAACCCTTCACATTGTTTGCCGATATGATAGATTTGAAAGGCTTAGACTAGAGCTATTTGGAGAAGATCGAGTGTATCACCCCAGCAGCTATGAGTCTATTATTCTGATAAGCCTATTCAGATACGCCAAAGTGACTCAAACTAACGTTTTAGAAATAAAACGTACTGTATTCATGGGGCACAATAGATCCATAAGGGTCGCAGTGCTCTAAGCCAAAGAAAAAAAAACCCTCTAGAACAACCCCCCCTGTATGCCATAAATGGCGATGTCGGTAGTTATCATAAAAAAATAACATTAATCATAATTTTTTATCAATATTAATTATTTGTAGAATTGAGTTTTAATCTGTAGATTATTGGACCAAAGGCTGAGGCACGCAGAACATAATCTTTCTCAGCTATTGGTGATCTTTTTGTATGGCACGTTAGCCATATATATTGTGTTGTGTTTTACTGTGGTAATGAAATAGATACTGGTGGAGCAACTAGTCTGGCAAGTGAGCCTTATCGTGGTCCTTTTTGCCAACCCCTGACAGCTATCTTGAGGTTCCTGCCACGTACTTGCCCGAGTGTGAATGTCAAGATGCCGGGGTCACCGAGAAATTAAAATTAACTGACCCTGGTGGGTATCGAAACCACAATGTTCAGTACTGGGCATTCTGGGACCCACACCCCAACGTACTCAGCCATCCCGTCCTCTAATGAAATATATAGTAATACTATTAGATCACCACCTTGTCAGTGGCAGAAATCACTGCTCGCTATGAAAGATAATGTTCTGTGTGTCTGAGCCTCAATATTTTGCCATCTTGCTCTACTGTTCATTGCATTTTTTTTTTAGATTGCCTGCAGACGAGCTCCAGAACACTTGATTAGTAACAAGGCTGAAATCATTAGAGCCCTTGGAACTTTATATTATGTTCCCATACTAAGGTCTGATGATAATGCTTTACAGCCATTAGTTGGAGAACCATTTACACCTAACAATCCCCCCGTAAGTTTCACTTTGTTATTTTCAATATATATCATGATATCCTATATTTTATTTTCATGATATATATGGACTTTTATATTGCGTGAAAGTTTAGTAAAATGAAATCCTCATGAAACCCTTCATGAAAATGTTTCACATAATTCCATTATAAGATAACAAAATAATGTTACCATAAATAATTTCCTATTGTTTATTATAGAAACCACTAGCAATTTTTTAAAAAAATAATAAAAACAAATTAAATTATACATAAAATTACTTACTATTTAAAAATTTATTTTAACCATATTAATTTAATAAATGAGTCGTGGTACAAGTTAAACCTGTAAAAATCGTAAAGTTAAACCACTAAAAGGTAGGTGTAGAATAAGTATTCCTCATCAAAGTAAAAGAGCTTACTTTCTCTGTTAAAAATAGTCAATCTTAAGTATATCCAACTATTTAAAAACATGAAGTTAATGTACTCAGTAATTATTGGGTTGTCCAGAAAATAATGCAGGATTTTGGTTTAAAAACAAAAAAGAAAGATTAACAACTGTTTTATTTAAACAAAATAGTCTCCACTACTATCAATACCTTTCTGCCAACGTGTTGGCATCTTTTCCATTCCCTTGGAATAGAATTTTCCATCTCTAGAATTGATAAACTTCAAAAACGCATTTTCTAATTCCCTTTGTCCATTAAATTTTTTGTCATGCAGGTAGTGGATCAGGTGCCTAAAAAATCATAATCCGTAGGCGAGAAGTCCAGAGAGTAGGGTGGATGTGGCAGCTCATATCCATATCCAACTCCTTCATATCCAAGCTCCAACAGTTTTTGTGATGTCACACGTGAGACATGTGGCCGGGCATTGTCATGCAACAAAATAGGTTCCTTCTGATTGACCAACGATGGCTTCATTATTGCCAATTTCTGATGCACTGCATTAATTTGATTACAATACGATTTGCTATTGATTGTTTATCTAGGATTTAAGGAACTGTAGTGTATCAAACCAAATGAAGCCCACCAAACAGTAACCATCACCTTTTTTTGATAAGTTGGCGGTTTTGGAAAGTGTTCTGCTGCTTCTCCTTTGTCCAGAATGTCTATTGTTATAGTAAAGTATCCACTTTTCATCACAAGTAACAATTCTGGACAGAAAAGGGTCTGTTTTGTTTCGGCAAAGAAGTGTAGCACAAACTTCATAACTATAGACCAGATCTTCGTGCATGTTATTAAAATATGTAGGTATTAATACGTAAAATTATGTAAAGTCTAATTTACACCTAAAAACGAGCAAAATTCATCTATTTTGTTTAATTTATAATATTAATACATCAAAATCCTACCAAAGCTTCTGGATTAAAAATATTGTGTTAAAAAAAAAAAAAAAAAATTAAAATGCAACAGACTGTATCTTTTCCCTATGAGTTAATGTTTGCAGAAAATTTGACAAATGTGATTTTATGAATGTTCAATCTGATATTATTGGTGCAGAATTCAAGTTAGTCTTAAATAACAATAACTCTTATTATTAAATGTACCATTGTGATTATTCTAATACTGCATTTTTAGTTTTACTTACCTATATATGTAATAAATAGAAACGGTAAGTATTGCGATTGTGAAATTTTTTTAAAAACCGTGAAATCTGAGTTCTCAACGGAAATATATGTTTTGAGGTTTCCTGAGTCCAAATAACCAAGTCCCACAAAATGATTTGTGTGTGTGTGTGTGTGTGTAAACAACCTAGCTCAAAAATGAAAAGACGTACGAAACTGAAATAGTATATTTTAGGTTTTTATAATCGTTGGATGTTACAGCAACATTTTCGTCAAACCGGAAGTGGTACTTTATATAATCGATTTAACACATTTTTATGATTTTCTCAAAAATGGCTCTAACGGTTTTGATTAAACTCAGCATATCAGTGTATTATTAAGCACTTTTTAATATAATGCAGGTTTTATTCTCATTGATGTTCTCTAACACGGCTTAGCTGGCTAATATTCAATATTAGCTTTTTAACCTTTAATTTAACCTTCTTTTAACCTTAGCTTCTTCAGTACCTTTAATTTTTTATATTTGAAATAATTAGCCATTTCACATTATTATTTGATCCAAAAAATAGTTAAATATAAAATATGGAAGAATTTTATTATTAATTAGGAGAAATAAGAGATCATAACGGATAATAGTTGTAATAAAAAAACCAAAGGAATACAAGCGCGACCGAAAGATTATAACAGGCTTCCATCTATAACATGAGCTTCATATAATTGCCTGGAATTTATATTGTCCTTGCCTGGTGATATGTTTCTCTTTACTTTACCAATCATTTCTTCTAATTCTTCTTGTATTGGGCATATTTCTTCTTCCCATCCATATTCTGTATCACTATGTGGGATCATTGCCTTGGTCTCCAGTCAATAACTCTTAGAAGTGTTACTCCCATCTCTGAAGAATCTCTTTATTCGAAGTCAGCAGTTGACCTTTTTTGCTTTTCACCCAATTATTCATAGGCGAGTATCCTTTCTTGATGGCTCCTATTTTCTTGTAAAACTTCCTGCTTTCATTCTAATTGGCCAACTCCTCGATGTTCTTCAACTGCTCCTCCAATGCCTGTTTTTTCTTCTTCTAGACTATCTTTTTCGTCTGTCGTCTTGCTTCAGGATATTCCATTTCCTGTTGTCTTGTTCCTTTTTTTCGATAGCGTTCTTTCATTCCTCATCGGACCATCTATTTCTTCTTCTAGGTTCTATGCTTCCAAGAGTTTTTGCAGCTATAGTTGAGATAATCCCCTCCAATTCATTCCACCTATCATCAATAGTTAAGCCTTCCTCTATTTTCAGGTGATGCTCATGTATTTTCTTATCCATATTTCCTTTAACTGTATAGTTGTTTCTTCATTGTTTAATTTCTCCGTATCCCACTTTGTCTTAGGTAGATAGTGAGATATCTTTACAGTTCTTATTCTTAATTTAAATTTCATTACTACTGGGTAATGATCTGAATCAATGCATGGTCCCCTATAGATTCTAACATCCCTTGTACAGCTGTGATGCCTATTGTCAATACAGAAATGGTATATTTGATTAACATTTTTCCCATCAGAAGTTCACCATGTCTGTTTGTGAATATTCTTGTGTGTGAATACAGTGCTCATTATTGTAGACATCTTGGAAGCTGTGAACTGGATTAATTTTTCTTTTTGTTGTTCCGTGAGCATGTCTATCAAAATTGGACACTTTTTGTTAGTATAGTAGAATCCTACTTTGCTGGATCTGCTATGTCTAAAACCCACATTATCAGAAATAAGTTTTATTCTTCCTCTGCATTAGTGGAATAGAAAGGAACCTCCTATTTCGTTGGCGCTGCTCGGCAGTCTAGGTATGACTTCATATCTAGGTTGTTCCTATCTGGCCGCTCCTAAAGCAGTGTAGCTGTTGGCGGTTCAGAGGTTATAATTTATGTTATCATATCAGAGCATTGTTTTGATGATAAAAGCCACTTTGATAAGTTTTACTTCCTTTTTTTTTTCATCAAGTCAGGCAAAATTAAATGAAATGTTTTTTTTTTTCTTATGCCAAGTCGTTGGTCATTTGGCCATCCGACATCTTGTTGCCCAGTATAATTTAGATTTTTTAATATATATATTTGAAAATAATTTTTCTCTTATGTCCGTCAAGGCAGGACATGTGTCTAGATGGTCTGCATCCATTGTTCCTTGATGACACAACTAGGATTCTTAGCCACGCCCATCTTGTAGAGATGATTCTGCAGATAGTCGTGACCAGTGGCCAGGCGAAAGCAGGCAACTGCATCTCTTCTCGGTAGTTCAACTGGAATCGGATTATCTTTCAAACTCTCATAGCATTTCCCTTCCACTTTGCCCAAGTGTGCTTTTCTAATTTCTTCCTTCACTACCATCTTTACCATTCACCGTATTGAATCGTAAGGTTTTGGAGGTATCAGCTGAGGCAAATCTGTTCCTCGCTTGGCAAGACTATCAGCCTCAACTTTTCCTGGTATTCCACAGTGGCTGATAATCCTGTGTAGGATCACATTGGTGCCTCGCAGTGTCAGGTTAGAGAGGAGGGATTTGCATTCCTATATAGCACTCAATAGACACTCATTCGTGTTTGTAACAGCGAGGATGGCTGCTTGAGAGTCGATGAAGAGAACAGTGCTGTGGTCCCGCCTTCTAGACAATGTTCTTAAGGCTATGAGAATCGCTGCTATCTCACAGTCAAAATTTGTTCCATCTTTATCCACCGCAGCGCTGATTTGGAATTCTCTTGAGTAAACCCCTGCTCCAGCATTTTTAACGGCTGATTCAGCTGATCCATCGGTATAGATATGGAGCCAATCTTGAGGAGAATACTTTTGAGCTATAGTTTCTAGTGCTAATGCTTTTAGCTCGTATTCAGGTGTTTCTTTCTTATCCACTTTATGAAGGAGTTGCAGTTCTGCATTGCATGCATAATTGTGAATTGGTAACTGTTGATGTATAAATGGTTCCCTTTCTTCAAGTAGTGCCATCACCTTCAGTATGAAGAATTTTTGTGTCTTGAGCTGTTGAGTGGGAATTTTGTTAACTCTGAATTTTTGAAAAATTGGGGTCCATTCTTTTCATTCGCTCGTGAAGGCACATTGCAGCTCACTCACGCCGTTTCGAGAGGTGTTCTGCAGTAGTCTGCAGTTCTATAGCTACAACAGGGGTTGAGCGCCCAAAATCAAACGCAGAACTTCGTTCTGCTGGTCGTCAAATCTTTTGAGGAATGCATTTGCCGCAGTACAGATGACCTCAGATCCGTATTCTAGGACTGGACATACGTAGGTTTTATATTTTATAGTTGAAAGTCTGCCTTTATGTCTGATAAATATTTAATTATTTGGTGATATGCATCAGCTGTGCCAGGGGATATTTTAATATCATTAGTGTGGCTTAAGCAGGAGTGGCTACCAGGAAGTATGATTTAGTTTAACTGTATCACCAAAAAAAGGATAAATGAAAAGATAATATATAATAATTTTTAATAAATATAATTTTTCATAGGAATTTTTATTTGTTGGGCGCCTGGCTTTACTAGCCTTTCATCTCTAAAGAGATAAATTAGAAAACAGAAAGTACTTACCCTTTAATGGCCATCATTACATATTTACTCTACCATGCTAGCTCAGGTGAGAAGGGGTTAGGTTGGATAAGTTTTTATAAAGCAGCAAGAAAGGTTAAAAGATCTATTTACAAAAAGAAATATTTACAGGATTAATACTATGTACAATAAAAAGAAATAAAATACGAGGAAAAAGAGGGAATTCAAACATAATTACTATACAAATAAAGTTAATAATATAAAATTAAAGTTAAAAAAAAGAAAGATATTTAAGATAATACAAATAACAAAAAAAAGATACTTATTTTATATACAATATTATGGCATGCCACATCCAAAGATAGTCAAGATACAATAAGATGTAAGAGTACATGCACATGCTAAAAAAAATCAAAAGTCATCTCCTTAGGAAACAAAAGAGAGTAGAGTTTTGTTTTGTTTCCACTGCTTTCTTAATCTTGGTTACACCTCCCCTTCTTCGGGAGCGTGAGACCCCTCACGCTGCAATTCAGGGTAATAGACTTTTAGTTGAGCTGCATGTCCAAGTCCAGCTGGTGTACCTTCGGGTGTCTCCAAGTGGTATACGTTAGTTGACCTTTTGTGAGAAATTCGAAATGGCCCTTCAAATGTCGGAGCTAGTTTGCTAGCGAATCCTCGTTCACCAGATGAGAGAGGATGAGCCCGTCGCAGTACTAGGTCTCCTTCACTGAATGTCGCTTCCTTCCGTTGACGGTTGTAGTAGTTACTTTGCCGCACTGAAGCTCTTCTGAGTCTTGCTTCCGCTGTCTTCCGAAATTCCTTCAACCTATTTAAATGATCAGACCAAACACAATTATCAATGGATTTCAATACCTGGTCACTACTAGATTTACCAAAATATGAATTAGGAGGTAAAAGTTCGCGCCCAAAGTTTAAGTAGGCTGGTGTATATCCCGTCGAGCTATGAAGAGAACTGTTTAGGGAGAACATCAGCTCAGGTAGATACTTGTCTTATTTCTTGTGTTGATCAGAAACATATGAAGTGATCATGATTGGTTGGCTCTTTCCGACATCGAAATGATGTTCGGTGAGATAAGTAAGACCAACGGAATTGTCGGTGTTTATCAATTCTTCCTCCACCACTTGGTCCAATCTTATGGCTTCTTCTGGCTCGAGTCTTCTAATTCCCGCTATTTGTTCAGGACCAATCGAAGATTCCTTAGAAAACCTAGCTCGACTAGAAGGCATATCTTTAAACCACCAGGACCCTTCAGCAGCATCAATTACTATTCCTAGTGCTCTCATGGGGTCCATTCCCAAAAGACAAGGAACTGTTAGGTTGGGAAGGACATAAAAAGATATTTGAACTTGACGGCCGTTTCAAGCTGGCTAAGAAGGCAACAGCTTCGTTAACCGTCTCACGCACTCCATTAGCCACCGTGACAAGATAAGAGGTAACAGATGTAAGCGTGATGTGTTCTTGAGGTAAAGATGAGAATCCAAAGGATGATTGGCTCCTGTGTCAATAAGCGCTGGAAGATTGGTTTTATCTATACTTAGTGTAACGAATAACCTCTCTTCAGCTAAAGATAAGGTAGAAAGGTTGTTGAGCTCACGAGATTTGAGGTCACTAGTCGAGAAAACAGGGTCAACAGCGACCTCCTTATACTGGTCCGTTCTCGGTTCCACCTTACAGTTTGGGCAATATTTCTTGGTGATACCACGTGTGCCGCAACTATAACAGAAAAGGGTTGTTCTAGGCTTAGAACACTCCGGATAACGATGTCCCGTTTGAAGACAGTTCCAGCAAAGGGATTGTACTGTTGCCAATTCTGTTTTTTTCTGATTCAAGATAGTGGATGATGAGGATTCAGGTTTCCTTTGAACAGATTCTGGAGAAGCTGCTTCCTTATCATCTTTACTGGTTTGCTTGGCTGTAGTCTCCACAGTGGCTATCTTGCTACTCTTCTTAAATTGTATGCTAGGTGCTTGAGGAGGTTCATAAGCAGTTTCAGGGAAAAAGCTATTATCTTTAGTTGGAGGTGCATGAAAAGTCATGGCTCTGATTTCGATCTTCTCCAATTCTTGCCCCAATTCGACCAATTTAGCTAAGGATGTCGCTTCCGATCTCCTTATGTATAATTGGTATCGAAGCAAAAGATTTTCGTAATTCTTCGAAATTTGTTCCTCTTCGGACTTCTGCCGATTCAATTTTTTGAATAAGGTTCTAATGTTGATGACGTAGTCCATAATTTTGTCTTGGTCGCCCTGAGTTCTTCGATCAATTTCCTTTTTCAACTTTTCCTGATAATCTAGAGGAAAGAATGCAGAACGGAAGGCTCTTTCAAAATCCTCCCATTTTTTCCAATTGTCTAATTAGAAACGGCACCAATTGAGGGGTGTCCCTTGGAATAATTCAGGTAAATAGCTAAGTAACTCAGCATCGGGTATTTTATAAGTCCGACGCTTTTCATTTACTCTTTGAAGGAAATCGTCAGCCGAGAAATTTGAACTATTATCAAATTTTAGGGAAGTTAAGAATTGTAAAGAATAACCCGGAGTGAAATTATAATTAAACATAGCAGTTTGCGGTTTAGACTCCTGTTGATTTGATTCCAGCTCCTCCTTGTTAGTCATATTTTCTTCCGTATTCTCTGAGGACGTCGAAGATACTGACCACAACCAAGGATTACTCAAAAAGAAATCTTTAATCGCTGGTCTTAAGCCTTTAACTTTACTACTCGCTGTTTTTAATTGCCAGATTGTCTTTAATTCTAATAATTCAGCCTTTTTTAAATGATAGAGCCAACTTACGCGTGATTCCTTACCATTAACTATCATCGAAAATATAGAGAATGAAAATAGTAATGGAATTGGGCAGATAGTTACATTTGGCGAGACAAAAGATAATTGTGTTTGGTAATTACAATAAGGTAATCTCACTACAATTTAGTTCAATGTCATTAACCTAAGATGAGACATGAAATAATTGTAAAAAGGAAAATTAATAACTTAAATTAATAAACATGCAGAAAAACAACACAATAAATAGCGTACTCTTAAACAAATAAATTAGAGATTTAAAAATAATTCATGAGGCTAAAGGCAACTCAAAGTGACAAAATAACTATTTTTAAATCACTAAAATTAATTCAATAAAGGTATAGTTTGTTTCAGTAATTAACCTTTAGTCAAGGTGTGCATAGTGACTTTGATAAGATTGTAACAATGCATAACCAAGTTGCTAGTCTTTAGTTTATCATCTACCTGGTTGCTAACCAGCTTGTTTGTTTATGCGTTGCTAACCAGTTTGTTTGTTCATGCGTTGCTATTAGTGACAATAGTTATTTTTTGACATTATACAATGACATATATATATTTATAAATAAATATATGTTTTCATCACTGTCTTATTCATTCTTATCATTTATATTTTTAATATATAAAGATTTGCTTGAATACAACAACAATGTATGCAAAAATCAAGTTATAGTTATATATATGAAGTTATATCAAAATTCGTTTAAGATAAAATATAGATAAAACATAAATTTTGTACAGTAGGTAATGATACTCACTTTAATCTTAATAATTAATGCAGTTAATACCTTTTTTGTAATAGATAAATTAGATATTTGGTGTCTTCAAGCAATTTTTATCAACTTGAATTACACTTAACCTCATTCTCATTTATCTTATAGTTAATTATTCACATTTATTTCCTGCTTTATATACATCTAGGCCCCACGTTTCAGCCGCCACTATTTATATGACCAAAAAAAGGATAAAATAAAATATATAATAAAATATTTTTTAATAAATATAATTTTTCATAGGAATTTTTATTTGTTGGGCGCCTGGCTTTACTAGCCTTTCATCTCTAAAGAGATAAATTAAAAAACAGAAAGTACTTACCCTTTAATGGCCATCATTACATATTAACTCTACCATGCTAGCTCAGGTGAGAAGAGGTTAGGTTGGATATTTTTTATAAAGCAGCAAAAAGGTTAACAGATCTATTTACAAAAAGAAATATTTACAGAATTAATACTATGTACAATAAAAAGAAATAAAATACAAGGAAAAGGAGGGAACTCAAACATAGTTACTATATACAATTAAAGTTAAAACGAAAGATATTTAAGATAGTAAAGATAATACAAATAACAAAAAAAGATACTTATTTATATACAATATTGTGGCATGCCACATCCAAAGATAGTCAAGATACAACAAGATGTAAGAGTACATGCACATGCTAAAATATCAATTGGTCATCTCCATCGGAAACAAAAGAGAGTAGAGTTTGTTTTGTTTCCAGTGCTTTTTTAATCTTGGTTACAACTGGGTGCATAGTAAAGAGAAATTTTTTAGATTTTTAACGAAAATTGGAGGGGGTCTGGGGTCTCTGGGAATGGGTGCAGATTCCATTACCTCTTTTTCATTTTGAAGTACCTCTTAAGGATTTGGGGTGAAAAAGGGAGATTCTTCCCTCGTATCCTGAGATGTACCCGGTTGAGATTCAATATTATCTATTGCTGTAGGTGGGGTAGCAGGTGGCGTCATTCTATTCGATCGACGAGTTTTTTTTTCGCAGGTGACGAACGTGGTGTAGATCCGACAGAGCGAGACCTCATTGTTGCACCCTTTGAAGACATGAGTTGGTGATAAAATCTCATAACATATCAGAAGAAAGTGAGGGAAGAAAAAAAAATTAAAGAAAAAATGAAATAAGAAATAAAATTAAAACACGTTGATTTTGTATCAGAGTCGCAATAGGACCTCCCTTCCCAAGTGAAGGCTCCAGGCCAACTGACTACGTTAGGCTAAGTACTTATGGCTGCGAGATAAGGACAGTCCTCTGTACACCCACCAGCTTCACTTCGCACAACTGTACACAATAAATAACAACAGTACTCACTGTGGCATTAGTATATATTATGGCCCAGGTGTTTAGTTAACATACAGTCACAATTTTATCAAAAGATAGCACCAATTTCCTAACAAAAAGTAAATATGTCTAGGACACGAGGTGACGGTAGTATATCATAATCTAGCGCATGCTCAGAACTGATTGTGAATTAGGGATGTCCTTTGTCATTTATCTAGTTATTTATTTAATTTTGCTTTTTTAACTTTGTCTTATCTTTCTGTTTATATTCAAGGAATTGAGTTGATATATGTGTGCGGTTCAGTTTTTTATTTCTAGCATTCGAATATCTTTTTTTTTTTTTTTTCATAAAATATATGTATTTGTAATTGTTTAATGTGGTATTGGTAATGATATGGTACATGGACTAATGTTGTGAAAAGGGATGAAAAAAAAATGATACGTTTATATAATAATGGAATAATATGATGTTAAAGCTATATGGATTGATCAGTATGCTGTGTAAAAAGGAACTATATATAGTTGGGCAGCACTACTTTAAATAAAGCATTTCTCTCTCTAATTGTGTAATTGAAATAGAATGGAAATAAGGTATTTGGAGATAATATAATGCATAGATAATAAATATTAAGTGATAGTAGAGTATTACTGAAATAAATGCAAACGTGAGATTAAAGAAAACGAAAATTAAAGAGATAGTATAATGCAGTGATAATAAATATTAAATAATAATGGAGTATTACTGATCTACATGAAACGTAAGATTAAAGAAAACGAGAAAAGAATTAAATTAAAGAGAAGTGAGAAAGTCTTTTATAATACAAAAATAATCAAAAAGCCTTTTATAATGCAGAGATAATAAACATTAAATAATAATGGAGTATTACTGATAAACATGAAACATGAGATTAAGAGAAATGAGGAAGTTGTCACCAGAAAAAAAATAAAAATATAAAAGGGATGGAGTACTGAGTAGAAGAATATCGAGGATAGGAAAAAGCTGCTAGGTCTGTTTTAATAAATTAAATTGTTTATGTTTTAGATAACCTATTTTATGTTTATCACTCTGTTTTCAGGAAATAACTTCACCAACCAAAGTTGTGCCTTCACTTGAAGTTAGAGCTCTTGCTGGCCCTATGACTGAGGAAGAAGCAAAAACATTCCGAAAAATATGGAAAACTCCTCCACGAACTTCTAGAGATATTTTAAAAAATCGACCTGAGCTTTCTGACCCAGAAAAAGGGTTAGAGAGAGTAGGAAGGTGAGCCAAACTATAACTATCAGATTTCCCTAGTAGGAGAGTATCATTCTCGCCAGACTTTTAAATTATGGTTTTCAGAACTGTAAATTTTCGAAAACTTCTAGTTACTTTAGGATGCTTGATTTATTATTATATTTATTCCTGAACATGTTAAAATAAGGTATCTAATTAACTTTAGTGAGTTCAAAAGAGAATTAAAAAATGTATAAAGCAGAAAGTAATTTTATTTAGCTGAAGCTAAACTAAAATTCCAATGTATACAAATACAAGTTTTTTTTTGGTTTTTTTTTCAGCTTTCTTCCATATCAGGGTCTATTTATATGTTTCCGGAGCCGTAGTTTTCCAAAATGGTGTCTATTTTGAGATTACACCACTGCGTTTTGTCTTATTTGAGTTTTCTGGGATTTATTTTATATGAGGGTCTATTTTTCGGAGCCGTAGTTTTTGAAAATGATGTCTATTTTGAGATTACGCTACTACGTTTTGACTTCTTTGAGTTTTTCGGATTTCTTTCATATGAGGGTCTATTTATATGTTTTTGTAGCTGTGTTTTTTTTTAAATAATCTCCATTTATTTTTCTTAGGGGTTGGTTTGTGGAATGATTTGGAGAGGAAGCTGTCCATACTGCTTGTTGAATAGTGGTGGTGATGTAATTTAAGGCATTGCCAAGGTCTTCTGGGGTTTTCAAGATTATTCTTAGGTCAATTTCATCGGAAATGATTTGATGAAAAAGTTTCCAGTTAATTGGGCCTCTAATGAAGAATGATAATGGGCCTCTAATAGAGATAACTGGAGTATTAATGGATTATGATCTGAGGAAAGTTCATCAAGTCGGGTAAGAAAATGATTGAGAGGCCCTAAATCAATATGGATAAAAAAATCGAGGATATCAGGATTGTGGATAGGATCAGTGGGCCAGTAGGTAGTTGAGTTGGTTAAGTAGTTCCGGAAGGAGGCTGAAACATTGAGAATTGAGTGCAAACAGCAATGATTTACCACGAGAATCTGTGGTTCTTGAACCTCATTCTTGGTGCTTGGCATTTAAGTCCACACCCAGGATGAAGTGATGTCCTAAGGAGTTAAGGAGAAAACTGAACTGGACATTGGATATGAATGGATTTATTAGGAAGGCAATATGCTGATGCTAGGGTGACAGAAAGGAGGTTTTGATTACAATGGCAGTGGATTGTTGGAAATCTTGAGTAGGTAATGGGAGGAGTGGGTAATAAGAGAGGGATTGGTGTACAATGACAGCAGTGTCGGCATGTGCTCTACCTTCAGGATGGTCAGTACGATATGTCAATTATTGTGGTATTTTAAAGAGTTGTTTAGTGGTTAGTCGAATTTTAGTAATTAGTGCCACATCAATGTTCTTGTTAAGTAATAAAGTAGATATTTCATATGCATGATTTCTGATACCATTCACATTCCAAAGGAGAATGGATAAGAATAAGAAGAAGAAAGTTAATTTTATTCTGGATCTTTTAGTCCCCTAAGAATTACAAACATGTACAATTATAATTACATTATAATATAGATTTGTCTGGCACATGATGGCTGACAAATAATAATTAGGTTACAGAGTTGAGTAACATTAAAATTAAAATAAAGAGCTATTCTAAATATATATATATATATATATATATATATATATATATATATATATATATATATATATATATATATATATATATAATACGATGAAATTATAGGTGAATTGATATTTGTTTGTTTACACATTTGCATGGTAAGCAATATAAATAATATTTTTGAATTAACATTAGAATCATATTGGTAACATATTTAATTCTTATAACTATTCAGAAGACTGATGGCTAAGGAGATGGAGAAACAGTTGGTTATTAAATGAAGTCAATAATGACGTTTTGGGTTGAATGGTGGGTAAGGAATTCCAAAACAAGGTAGCATTATAAATGAGAAGGAATATACAGGTTTGTGGGCTGGGATCGTCTGTTGGAAGAGTTGGACTGAGGAACAAGGAGTGAACAGCTCGGATATTTTTGTTTTTAACATGTTATTTTCCATAGTTAATTTTTCAGCATGGGCTTTTTGCTCTTCTAGGAGTGTTTCAATTTTTAATAATCGGTCCATTTTCTCGAAAGATAGTCCCGATTGCTACTGGAGGGTTTCTTATCTCCTTCAGTTCGTCTAAACCCTGAAGTTTGGACTTCAATTCCTTAACTTCATCAGCCAACACACTCAGTAGGTCTACCATAGTACTAGGCTCAGAGGCTGGCAATGTACGTGACCCTGATTCGCAATCGGTGCATTTCCATTTTTTATTGGTTTCTTTTAGGCCTTCTGAGTCTGTAAAATCTATTTTCATGTATTTAGCCTGAAAGATGTTTTGCCATGTGACACAAGCTAATTTAGTTGTCTTGTCTTCTCGACCTACTGTTTTTCCACATAATTTGCAATTAATCATTTTAAAAAAAAAAATAAATAAATGTCATAATTGCTTTAAAATGATGAGAGAAGAAGAAAATAATAACAATACCAAAGGCACACCTGTTTGTTTGGACGGAGACTGGTGGGATTAGGCTGCTGCTGGCTATTCCTATTACTCTAACTCAGCTGCTTCTATCACATCCTTTTTTTCACTATATAACTTTTACCACAACAAATAACTGTACTGTGATATTACATAATGAAGTAATTGTGCAAAAAAAAAAAAAAAAATAGTGAAAAAGTCTTCAAGTGACTGTTTAAGTAATAGAATATAGTGAGAAACGCTAGTTAAGCTCTTGATTGTTAGAGAGATACTCTAAGACTAAGAATATACAGTGGATATCGTTTATAATGTCCTGGCAGGGGTAAACGACCAAGGTTGCTATATTCATCCACCTTTGACTGTCAATAACAGCACTGGTGGTTATATTGAAATCAAACAAGGGTAATGAAGGAAAGGAAAGGAAAGGGAAGGGACATTCATAAATGAGTGAATTTGAGTTTTCAAGATCAAGAAAATTCAGTAAAACAGAGTAAAACAAAACAATTTATAGTGAGATTTGATAAAATATTAAACATTTGCCATTGATATAAATGAAAGACTGTTAGCACTAGAAAAAAAAAAGGAAGTAATAAAATAAGAATAAAGACTATGTGCAGATTTGTAGAAATGATCTAAACGAACAAAGCTCTGAATATTCTGGTTAATAAAGAACATAAAATACTATTCCTTATAGGAAAAATTAGATATTGTAGAAGATGTGAAAAATAAATACATAACAACAATCCTGATAACTAGGAAAAAAACAGGAGGCAGAGAGTTGAATATGAGGTTTCCGTTATTGATGTACAACTAAATCTTAGGCCTTGTTGATGATCACGACCTGCAATCCGTTGTCTTTTCGGCGTCTGGCTCGCCCTCTGGAAAACTAATATTTGATTTTTCCGGCGGCCTTTTTGTTTGCGTATGTGGTTTGGTTTAAATAATTCAAAAGTGGTGATTTTGCCTTGAAAGACAGGAACACCTAAGTAACCAAAAAAAAATTTGTAAGATATCGTATTGGTATTGTAAGCATTGTTGGATAATATATGCAAACTCAACAAAAAATGGCAGAAAGGTTAAATGTTGGTGGCCAAACCATTTGTGATTGTCTCGTTTCATGGAACAGATTCAGAAAGCAGGATAATGGGTACCACATCAATTAAATGACTGACAGATTCAAAAGTAAACGACAGTGTGCGAAGTTTTGTTTTCTTCGCATAAAAGAAAGTCTTACGTTGCATCATGATTGGAGACGAAAAATGGATATATTTTGAGAATTCAAAACTCAGAAAATCAAGCGTTGGCCCGGAACAATCATCAACATCAACCACAAGATCAAATCACTTTGGAAAGAAGACAATGAAATAAAAAATAGTTTTATTCTGGAACCAAAGTCCCCTAAGAATAATAAAAGGTTCAAGAAATATGTACATCAGTCTGGCTTGTAGAAATGTAGAAACATAAAATTGCTCTTATCAATTAACTGTTAGTCACCAAATGTAATTACATGATCTTACATGGCTAAGGAAGTTTGAATGTGAAGTAGGTGGTGGAATAGGAGTTGTTTGAAGGAATTAGTGGACGTGGCATGAAGATAGGTAAGGAGTTCTAAAAGGGGATAAATAGATGTATGGATTGAGATCTGGTGTTAGGAGAGTAGATAGAGGAGTGTAGTGTTAGGAGTTCTAGGATGGAGGGAAGATTCTAATGGAACCAAACCCAACTGTCTCTGAACTATGATAATATAATCACATGAAATATCCACTTAATTTATTTTTGGACTACCAGCTTTTTCCTTGCCATTTCGGATCTATTCTCTGCATCCCTTCATTAGAATATGACCTTTCTTCAGTTTTTACTTTCGCTTACCTATATATGAAATGTATAGTAAGAGGAAGTATTGCGATTCTGAAAATTTTCGAATCTCAGTTTTCAACTGACATTAACGTTTTGAGGTCCATATAAAATGGTCTGTGTTAACAGTCTAGCTCAAAAACGAAGTCTTACACAATTAAAATTTCATATTTAAGGTTTTTATATGATAGGGATATTACATCAACTTTTTCATCAAAATTGGCTAACCGGAAGTGGCACTTTATATAATGGAATAAACACATTTTTGCGATTTTCTCGAAAACGGCTCTAACGATTTTGATTAAATTCATCATATCAGTGTAAAATTAAGCGCTTTTAAATAAAATGTAGTTTTTATTCTGATTAATGTTTTCTAACAGGGCTTAAATGGCTAATTTTGAATATTAGCTTCCCCTAAAGTATCTTTAATTTTTTTATTTGAAAGAATTAACCGTTTCACCTTAATCTCTAATATAAAAGATAGTTCAGTGTAAAATATGAAAGAATTTTATGATTAACTAAATGAGAAGTAAGAGATTGTAACGGAGAATAGTTGTAATTGAGGAACCAAAGGAATACTAGCTCGCCCGAAAGATTAGAACACGCTTCCATATGTAATATGAGCTTGATATAATAAGGACTCCGATAATATTATGTAAATATATATACATATGCGGTTTTCATAGATCCTATTAATGGTATTATTAAATATTTAATTGTATAGATTACAGCCATATAAATATTAAAATTTGTATATATAAGGGTACTTATAAAAATACAAATACCCACAATGAATTATAAATCAATATAGCGCATGTAATTTTTACTATCACTTACTCTTTGTCTAAAAATACTTATTTTTACTAAGAAGAGGGTGGTAAGTGAAAGTTGTGTGATGCGTGCACCGCACAAGATTTTTTTTTCATTACTTTGTTTTTCAAAAGTCATCATAAAAATTAAATTGAATATATTGTACATATTTAATAAAATATAAAGTGCTATTGTAATATTTAAAAAAAAAATTGTATATATCAAAACCTTACAAATTCAATTAATATCTCTCGTTATTATTTTTTCAGGAAATTGGCACACGAATTCCATGTTCATTGGAAGGAATATTGGAATTTCTTGAACAGTTTTGTTGATTTAGCTTCTCCTGAGGGGCTTAGCTTGTTGGAGAATTACCTGAAAAGGGAATTTAAGCGGGTATAGTATTTCTTAAGTTTTACTTAAAACTAACTGATAACATTAACATTTTAATGTTAAGTGAGATTATGCCTGTTCTAGCAGTATGCTGTTTATTTTAGTATTCTGCTTCATCCTAGTTCCTCCATCCATGAAGAACTAATGTGTAATTATCTATACTCTGCAATTCTTTCATTATTAAAAAATTGCTTTTTGGGTTTTATTTTCATCGTATGGTAGGCTTTGCACAGTCATTTGGTAAATTATTATTATTATCATCTTGGTACAACTACCCGTTGCTTCGTCCAGGCCTCCGCCAGCAACTTCTGCCAATCCATGCAGCCCCCATTTAGTTATGCACTCCGAGGATGTTCCGAACAGCAGATGCAACTTTGTCTGCCCATCTATTCTTCGGTTTTCCTCATCTTCTTGTCCATAGGGAGGCTTCATAAAAAGCTTTCTGGACAACTCTTCTTCTCTCATGTGCGCCACATGCCCCGCCCACCACAACCGGCCCTGTTTAACTGTCTGAACGACATTTGGCTCTTTGAATAAACCATAAACCTCCTGATTTGTGCGTCTCCTCCAGGTTCATCCACCAACACTTCCAAATATGCTCTAAAGAATTTTCTGCTCGAATATAAGGAGGATCTGTTTATTACCTTTGGTTATAGTCTGTTTCTTGTTTCTGGGCCATATATTACCACTGGACGGATTTGTTTAAATATAATTAAGTTTGGCGGGAGAGAATGTGGATGCCAAGCTGTTTTCTCAGGCTACACTAGCACTGATTAGCAAAAATTATTTTCCTTCTAATTTCTGTTTCTGGGCTGTTATCCTGTGTTACCAAAGAACCTAGATAAATAAATTTGGTGACTTGCTGAAATCGATAGTCCTCAAATGGCACCCACCATCTCATCGCGGGTCACGATGTATTTGGTTTTCTCATGGTTCACCTCCAGCCCAATTTTCCTTGATGTGCTAGAAAAGTTTCCCTGACTGCCTATAGAAGGCCCAATGATGTCGACATCATCTGTATAAGTCAGTAATTGTGTATTTTGACTGAATATTGCCCAACCTGTATGCCCGCTTCATTCATGGCCTTCTCCAGGACAATATTGAATAAGAGACATGCAAGGGTGTTACTCTGCCATAGGCCCTTCGTCGCTGGGAATTCCTCAAATAGATCTCAACTAACACACACTGAATGCAACACTCCATTCATGGTCAGTCTAACCATAAGTATGAGCTTCTGAGGGATTTGAAATTCTTCCATTGCTAGATAGATCTCATTACGGTTAATACTATCATATGCAGCCTTAAAATCAATGAAGAGATGGTTTGTCTTTTGCTTAAATTCATATCCTCTCTCCAATATGGTTTTCAGGCTAAATATTTGGTTGAGAGTTGAGTTTTCACATCAAAATCCACATTGGTAGGGACCAATTGCTCTATCAGTTTTGGTAAGGAGACATGTGAATAGGACATGTGAGAAGACTTTATATCCAGAAGTCTGTAAGGAACTGCCTCTGTAATTAGTACATACTAGGCAATTACCCTTCTTGTGAATAGGACAATCATCAATTTTCTCAATGCTGAGGGTATTACTTCATCCTCCTACACTGACTAAACAGGTTCTAAAATGCCTTTACCGGTTCATTGCCTTCATACGGTAAGAGTTTGGCAGGGATCCATCATGCCCTGGAGCCTTGTAGCTCTCCAGCCTATCCACGGCTTACTCAATCTCCTCATTGGGCGGTTTTAACTCAGATTCCATATCTCCCACAACATACATGGTTCTGTTAACACCCTAAAGTTTAATATTTGGGTCAGTCAGGAGTTCTACAAAGTGTTTCCTCCATTCTGCTAGAACTTCTGTCTTATCAGTTAGAAGATTGCCTTCTTTATCCTGACAAGAGGTCTGGGTACCAATTAAAGGCCTTCTGAGCCTATTTATCCTGCAAAAGAAACTCTATTAATTCTTTGCTTTGAAGCAGACCTGGCAATCATCTTCTACCGGTCCTTGTTCATGGTGCGTTAATAGTTATGCTTTGTCAAGCTCGACTGTATTATGGTTCATTACCATTGGTTCTTGGAGTTTCCGCAAGTTGAACTTTTAACCTTACTACTCCTAAAGCTTAATCTGGACATGGTGATCTTGGCTGTAAGGTGTGCTATTGAAAGGTAGTGATCAGTGTCAACATTAGCTCCTAGGAAGTCTTCATATCAAGTAGATTCGATTTATGTCGTCTTACTATCAATATGTAATCGATTTGATTAATAACCGATCTATCGGGAGTGATCCACATACCTTTATGGATATCCTTTTGTGGAATAATATAAGTGCTACTCACAAGATCCATGGTACTGCAAAGTTTACCAGCCAAACTCCGTTATCATTGCTATGCCTATGCTTTCTAACATATGGAATACAAATATTCAGAGTTCTTTTCCGACCTTCCCATTGAAATCGCCATTTGGTATTTGTCATTTGGTTTATTTATTATTCTGTAAAATTCATTTTTTGATCAGTCTACCATGAACTTTACATTGGATCATTCCTTTTGAATCAGAAAAGAGCTGTCCTGGATAACCTTAGATCACTTCTATTTACTGCGCTGTCTCAAGGCCTTTGATAGTGCATTATTGTTTTCGTTGATTGCAATCTGAATCATTCATTTTATATTTTTATAAATTATAGATTAAAAAAAAAAATAGTTTAAAACCAGAATTCATCCATAGATGGCTCTAGTTGTTAATGTAGTTCCTGCTAAACTACATTATTGGCATCTTTTGTTGCTTCCACAGCTGACATAGATTTTTAACTCACACTAATACAAGTTTTATGCAGCAGCATCATTTAATAGTGTTGAACATGTTGAGGTTTGTTCTTACAAACTAGGATTTGTGGACTGCATTAGTTTTCTGTTCCACTTAAAGAAAACTGCTGCAGAATCACACCGAATGCTTGCCAAAGCTTACAGCAAGAATGCTCTTTGTAACTCAAAATGCTTTTGAGTCATTTAAAAAATCGAAAGTGGCTGTTTGAATCGCATCAACCATATCTATCGACCACACATGGGTCGATTAGATGTCGCCGACCCAACACAAATTAAATCCTCCTAGTGTCACTACTGAGAAAAGCACCTTCTGGCTCGAATTTATTTTAGTACATTTGAGTCTTTCATAGAGGAACTTCCTGGTTTTTACCTTCTTCAAACATTAGTCAAATTGCACTATAATGAGTGGTACCAGCAGTGATGAAGAGGATATGATTATGTTTATGTCTTACTTACATAAAAGAAGCCAACGTAGATTGTGGCAGCATCCGTACATAAAATGAAATTTCCGCTGCCAGTTATTTATTGGTGCGCGAGAACTAGAAGAGAGTGACCCAAAATTCCTGGTATTTTATACAATCGTATATCAATCTAGTGAAAAATCTTGCTCCAATTATACATTGTGTGGTTACAAATATGAGGAAATGTGTCACTCCAGAAAAACAAATACTAATAACATTTAGGTAAGTTTTTTAAAATATGTTATATGTTATATGTTAAAATATGTTAAAATGTTATTAAAATATTCTTGATTAACTTAAGTAAGGGTTTAGAATCTCTATTAACCCTACCCATTCAAAACTATAGCTCCAATTCTTCTGATTTATTCGCATCAGACAATAGCTTTTGCACCTGCTGGGGGGAGGGGGAATAAGTAGACAGGAAATTAATAAAGTCACTCAGAAATACAGAGTAATATAAAATTGATTGTATTTATGAATTGCAAATTAACATTAATAAGTACACAATAAACCAAGAAAATCACACATATATGTAAAATTGATTAAAAGTGCCATTATTTGTTTAGGAAATTAAGTCCTTAAACGTAATAATTTATAAATTTCATAAATATAACCTGAGGAGTCGCGTAGGGCTAACTGATTGTCGTCAATTATATATTTCGGAGTGCTACTCCACCTCCCCAACAAATTTTATATTGAGAGCCTAGAAATAATGACAAAATCAAGATGAAAATCACTACAACACAAAATTATGTACCTCCATGAGTCGATGCGATTGTCTCGATCTTACGATCCATCTTGTTGTGTTTTTTCTGTGACAAAATTCACTGTGGCCATGGAGGCCTATTGTATGTCCATATTAATGTGTCGCTCATATTCAGAGCATTATTCCCGCAGTGTCTACGAACTGAAGTAGGCTTGTTGTATTGTCAAGCTCATTCGTCTTGGGGACAGACACCCTGTCATTACTAAATAATCAGAATCTTAACTCAGCTAAGCTATCGCACCAACCAGTGATGTAATATGCTGTTTCATCCTTACCACAGAATATATAAAGAGAAGACTCCTTTAGCCGGAAACTTTAACATGTGATAATTCAGTTTACAGTGACCAGTATATATCGCTGTAATCTTCTTAAGAGAGCTCCTGCTCAAGTTTATTAATATATTAGCACAGATTCCTATCTGAATCTTGAATGTGTCTGGTTTATTGATTAAATCCGTTAATTAAATAAATAGTTACAAAAAGTTGATCAACAATTCAATGAGCTATATTGTTTAATGAGTAGTTGTTTTCTTCTAGAGTGTTAATGACTTTATCATAATGCGCCTTGTCATCAGAGTTTAGGTTTCCAGTAAGCTAGTTGATTGCACTTCCTATGCCGTTTATCAGGCCTCTTTTTCTTCTATTACGTCGAGCATCAATAAAATAATCAACTTTATCTTTTAGAAATGTTAATTGTTTGGAAATTATATCATATTGGCTAAGTGTCTTAAAATTACTTAAATCTCTTTTTAATATTGATATTTCATTTATTGAGTTTGTATTAGAGTGGGTAGTTTCTCAACAAGCGTTTTCATGTGATTGTATTATTACTGTGTGTACATTTACTAGTTGTATTTTTTTTTAATAATACAGTTGTGAATATCAATGAATAAAAAATAAAAAAAGTTTATAAAATTTAAAAAATTTATTAAGTGGCAGTTGGCCAGTGTTTCAACTGCCTCCCGCAGTGCCACATCCTACGCCCTGAAGACGACCTGCAAAGTGGGTCGAAACGTCGGCAAAAATTAAAATAATTTATATATTTTAATTTTTTTTATTTATTTGACCGCACCCTCGACTGACTCCTTCTCATAAAAAATTTATTATTGTTTTGTATTTTTGTATACCTTAGAATCAGATAATTTAAACGTAAACAGTCCTGAAGAATGTTCTGGATTTATTATTTGATATTGTCGCGATGTCTGAATCATCAGAATCAATATCCATATTATCTTCATCATCTGGAATATGATTTTTGTTTTAGTTTTTGTTTTCTTTGGATATTATCTGCATGTACCTTAAGGTTTTTATTTTTAAGCTTAAATTTATACACTTGTCTGAATGAATTTTCGTATTTATTTCTAGTTCTAACCTTTATGTAAAGTTCATCTTCGATTTCTTCTCCATCTTTATTTAGGTTTCAGTTCTTACTTCCTTCTTTTATTCAATTTTATTCTTTATTTGCTCATGAACTAAATTTAATTCTTTATGATATTGATTGATTAAATATTCGTGAATCATTGATGGTTTCTTATCAGGCTCTTTTATAAAACCAAAGGGGATTTCATTTGGACATAATTTAAGATTTTTATTTAAAGAATTATTATAAGTGATAAGAGCTAAGTTTAAATCTCGTTTTTCTTTATTATTTTTATATAATAAAGGTGCGGTGCTAATGATTTCTATCAATGTAAAATGAGATTTGTTCATGAGCCCAAGAGAATTAGGATGGTTAGGAGTTGTATAATAAGCTCCGATTCCTAAGCTTTTTAATAGGTTTTGTACTAAGTTATTTTTATATTCCTTTCCTTTATCCATTTGAATTCTTAATGGATTTGGGAATAAACTTAAATATTTTGTAAATATCTTAAATATATTACCAGCATTACACGCTGTGGTTATTTAAGCATACATTTTTTTAAAAATGTATCAGTATACTTTCATTCGAAGTGTAAAGTATCTATCATCAATTCTTCAAATGGTCTGATAGGTGTTGATGTTACTTGAAATTTTAATTTGATGGGTTTCTTATCATATTTAGTCTTCCTGCAGATTTTAAGTTGACTCTTATATTTACGAAAAGTTGATGCGCAGTTGCACAACCTCAAAACCGACATTATTTTCATAATAAGCGCCCCCGAAACATAGTTGACTCTTATATTGATTAAATTCGAATAGTTACAAAAAGTTGGTCTGCAGTTGCGCAATCTCAAATTCAACAATATTTTCATAAAAAGCAGCCCCGAAAACGTAATAGTCGACCCAAATAACGATTAAATCCAAATAGTTACAAAAAGGTGATGTGCAGTTGTGCAACCTCAAATCCGACAGTATTATCATAATAAGCGACCCTCAAAACATAATTGTTTGTGCTAAGATAGTTCCGAATTTCCTTGTACGGCAAATGCTGGGGGTAGATCAGATCTAAAAGGTAACATTTAATCAGTAGGAGCGCCGGTTCACAATTCCAGCACAAGGAGACAACACTTGCACTTGAGGGCCTTCATGTAACAAATGTCTTAAGCTGGCAAAAAAATGGTAAGCTGTTTTTGCACAATTCGTATAGCCTACCGATCCATTAAAATACAGTCCACCGTATAAATAAGTTGAGTGTTACCCATAATTTGAATGTTCCCTATTAAGAACTCATGAGAGTTATATGGCTTGCCATAATTTATAGTTTGGAAAGTTGCCAAAACAATAATAGTCGACCCCAATATCAATTTTTTTATTTTTTTTATTTATTTATTTAGATATATAATATTCTGTCATGGGGACAATAATTATATTGATAAATGAACACATTCACACCGTATATACAAAAAATAAAATAAAATAAACAAAAGTAAAATAATAACTAAATAATAATTAATAAAAACTATATACAATAAAAAAAATAAAGTAACCTAAATATAAGTAAATTAAAAACATGAAAATACAGTCATACCTATATACAACCAATGGGGGGAACCCAAATCCCTGCGCTACTCTCTCAACCGCCTCACTGGTGCTAAAGCCGGTGGAGTTTGAGCGAGAGCGCTTTAGCCACATACATTCATGTCTTGAGTGGAGGGCCACTGCCGCTTTAACCTTCGAAGAGGGTTGTAGGGATGATTGGAACTAGATTGGGATTGGGCTTGGGGATTTTAATGATTGATAAGGTTCTGATGGAATTTTGAAAAATTTTCAGGGATAAGGTCAAGGACAAATGGGATATTAAGTTCATGATGTAGGGTTTTGTTGGTTACATAGAATGGAGCATCAACTATTGTTCGGAGGACTTTGGATTGAAAGGATTGGATGCGTTTGATGTTAGAGAATTTTGCTATCCCCCAAAGTTCAAGTCCGTAGGTCCAAATGGGTTTCAGGATTGTCTTGTAGATCAGTAATTTGTTGTCAATTGAAAGTTGAGATTTTCTGATCAGTAGTCTGTATAATTGGCCGTATCGTCGGTTAAGTTCTTGTCTTTAAATCTAGTATGTGAGTTCCATGTTAGTCTTCGGTCTAAGATAAAGCCAAGATACCGGACTGTGTCTGAAAAAGGAAGCTGGATGGAATTAAAGTGGACTGATGGACCTGATCTACAGTTATATACTGTTATGGTATGGATGGGTTTGGATTCCGGAAGTGAGGTGAATGTTCTGGAGAGGTGTCTGGCGAATTCCTCAGCTTTGTCTTCATCAGACGCTGCCCAGGAGCCATCGCATCGTCGGAGGGGATGGAAAATATGATGGGATTTAAGGATTTTGTTGGTGATCTTCCATAGAGAATTGCCGTGAACAGAGAGAGAAGTAAGGTAGGAGTTGAAGGATTGGGATTTGAAGATGGCCAATTCCTGCTTTAATCGTTTAGTGAAATAATTATAACAGCGATGATCGGTGGGGTGTCTTGAACGTTGCCATAATATTCGGGCATGGCGTTTGATATGAATTAGATCTAGCAGGTGCTGAGGTAAATTATTTTTCTTAAGAATTTTCGAGGAGAAATTTGGAGAGGAAGCAGTCCAGATTGCTTGCTGAATAGTAGTGGTAAAGGAATATCAGGTCTTCTGGGCTTTTCAGGGTTGTTCTGAGGTAAATTTTATCGGAAAGAATTTGATGAAAGAGTTTCCAGTTAACTGGGCCTCTGATAAAGGACGGTGAAGGAGGTTTAGGAATAGGAGCTATTGATAATTGAAGTATTAATGGACTATGATCTGAGGAAAGTTCGTCAAGACGGGTAAAGGAATGATTGAGGGGACCTAAACCACTGTGGATGAAAAAATCAATGATATCAGGATTGCGGTTAGGATCAGTGGGCCAGTTGGTTGGTGAGTTGGGTGGAAGGAGACTGAAACGTTGGGTATTGAGTACAGACAAATGTTCTGCCACGAGAATTTGTGGTTCTTGAACCCCAAACTTGACGCTTGGTATTTAAGTCTGCACCCAGGATGAAATGATGACCTCAAAGAGTTAAGGAGAGAACTGAACTGGACTTTGGATATGGATCTGTTAGGAGGGTAATATGCTGATGCAAGGGTGACTGGAAAGGAGGTTTTGATTACAATAGTGGTTGACTGTAGGAAATCTTGAGTAGGTAATGGGAGTTGCCTAAACAATAATAGTCGACCCCAATATCAATTAAATCCAAATAGTTGCAAAACGTTGACTTTTTTTGTGTTGAGTCTCAATTCAACTGTATTTTCACAAAAAGCGACAATGAAAACATAATAGTTGACCCCAATATTGATTAAATCCAAATAGTTACAAAACGTTGATCTGCAGTTGCTCAACCTCAAATCCAACAATATTTTCATTATAACCACTCCCGAAACATTATATCGATTAAATCCGAATAGTTGCAAACAGTTGATGGGTAGTTAGGCAATCTCAAATCCAACAGTTTTTATATAAAGTGTCCCAGAAAATATTTAGCTCTCCTCACAGATTTATGATATTTTGTAAGATGAGTTCTGTAGTTATCCCATTTGCCAGATCTTTTGGCGGTATTGAACAACCTTCTTGTAAGTGTCCTTTAAAATTTAAATTTAAAATCTCACCTTTCAGGTTGTTGAGTTGAAATCTCCAAAATACAAAATGTACCTTCATGAGTCGGTGCGTTTCTCTTGATCTTACGATCCACAAGCTTCCTCTCAGATTGCATACAATTTGAAATCGGCCAATTGTAGTTGGAGCGATTCTATACTGATACTTGTTGACCCGTTAGAGGCATTCTCTTCTGAAGCATTGGAAGCGAAGTTTAGGGGAGAGAGTCGTGCGTTTTGAATCGGGTTGATCATGTTAAGAATCAGCTCATGTATGGACGGCCCAAAGTACAACTATCAAAGATCATCCACATTAATTCCCAGGGCAAGTTGCTATGAAAAGAAAACGATGCTCTGCATTTAGTAGGATCAGAAGGTGTGATCTATTATGAGCTGGTACAACCTAGTTAAGTTTTTAATACTGATTGCTGTGGACAACAAATGTTCAATCTGAATCGAGTATTGTGTTATAAACTACCAGAATATAAAAATAAAATAAGTAATTTTGCTCTATGATAATGCACAATCACACACAGCTAAACAATTGAGGTTAAACTGGGTGTATTTCGAATAAAATATTTGTCAACATTTTAGTGCAATAAACATATATTTTCTTTATGAAAATTCCTGTTTCATATTTACACACTTTGTAATTTTAATATTGTAACTATTAAATATTTAATTGTATACTATTTAAAAGCATGAGGGTATTACTGATATTGGTGCCTTAACAATTTAATTGGCCTATTTAAATCATATTTTAATTTTAAATGTTAAAATTAAAATTTAATTATTTTTTTAAACTAGATTTTTTAAATTATTTATCCAGAAGGATAATAGTCGTGATTTATATTTTGTAGGCTTATGAGACCCAGGCCAGGAATCCATCAGTAGTGCCTTCTTCCAGTGTTGATTCTATTGCTTTTGAATTAGATAAAGTTGCTAAGCGACTTGCCAATTTATCCCTTGAAGATAATTGCCAAATACCACCAGAGTCAAGGAAAACTCCTGAATCTAAGCCTTTTGAGAATCAGGTAGATGTAAGTAAGCATTTTGGTTCATTCTAATGTTTGTTGAATTTTTCTCCGTTGAAGCTTTACCATTGTATTTAGTATGATGATAGTATTATATTAAGTATGATTTCACTCCTAAATTTGTGGTACCAAATTCATTGAAAAACATTCAATTTTTGTTTATGGTTATTAAATTAGACATTTTCTTTTTGTCAAGACAAAACTAATTTAATGAGAAATTTAATAGAACAGTTAATCTGGGAGTCTGATTGGACATAAGTGACGGAAATATGGCAATGAATTTAATCTGTTTATCTTATGTCATTTTACATAGTCCAGTAAAATTAGGAATTGACCCTAATATTAAAAAAATAAAGATGAAACTTATCAGAAATTGTTCATTACCCTCCCTATAATAACTGGTGCAAAGCCCCAAAGAATCCCTTGTTGGATTTTGATGGAGGGAGGGAGGAGAGGATAGAAACTGATATTTTTTTTAGATTTTTGATATCTCAAAAACTGTGAGATTTTTTGCAAAGTTTGTTCAATACCATATTAAATTAGTTTAAAATCTCTATAAAAATGACCCTATAAATTTTTTCTATAAATGACCCTAAAATAAATCAGTGGTTACGAATATATTTGTGAGATTATATTTATTGTATTTTCACTTTAAGTAAAAATTGCTCCAAACCACAAAATGTATGATGTTGATAGTAGAAGATACCTTTTTGAAATTTTTTTTTTTTCTTTCAACTTTTCTATTGTTCAAAATTTCTTTCTTTTGATGATTTTTAAAATTCATTGACGACAGAATTATATTTGATATCAATCAATGGGAAATTTTGTGTAATAATATGAAGTTTAGATAGTTGGGAGGTCACAAAAGGTTTTATGTTAACCACATTTTGTTTTGAATAAAAAGCAAACAATAAAAAAATAATTTAGGTTACAACCATTTACTTCATAGTGAACTAGATTAAATTTACATTAAATGAAAGTAAATCTTGTCTTTTTTAAAACTATTTAAAGGGGACTTTTAAGCAGTTAAACTAGGTAAGTTTGTTTTTTCATTAAATCAAGGATTCTCCGCAATTTATTTTGTGACCTCCCAACTATCTAAATTTCATATCATTTACAAAAACATTCTCATTGATATCATATATTCTGTTGCCAATGACTTTTGAAAATCATTAAAAGAAAGACGCCTTGAACAATTGAAAATTTCAAAAAAAGTATCGTCTACTATGAACAATATAAATTTCATGGTTTGGAGCAATGTTTGCTTAAAGTGGAAATACAATAAATATAATCTCATAAATATATATGTAACAATTTATTTTATCAAAAAAATATATAGGATCATTTTTATAGAGATTTTAAAGTTCTTTAATATTGTACCGAACAGTCTTTGCAAAAAAAAAAACCATAGTTTTTGAGATATTCTAAAAAAACTAAAAGAAAGTATCAGTTTTCTTTACTTCCCCTCCCTCCTCCCATCAAAACCCGACGCAGGATTTTTTGGCAATCTTTTTACCAGTTATTATGGGGAAGATAGTGACAAGTTTCATCTTTAATTTTTGAATATTGGGGTAAGGCTGTTGTTTCTCCTAACTTTACTGGACTTAGAGTGTCTTAAACTAAGTAGGAGGCCAACAGTCGGGGAGCCCGTGGCAAAACAGGTGTTTTATTTCATATTAGGGTTTGACCATGTCCAATATCCTGAAAATAAAAATGCACGTCTGCCATCATATAGCCACTGGAATGAAAAATGGCTGTCAGGTGTAGACAATAGTATTTCTAAAAAAAAAAAATGACATATTTCATACTAAAAAATAAAAGTAATAATAGATAATAGGTCCCATCCATATTTTAAAATTAATCGTTTAACCACCAAAATAGTGTCATTTCAAACTACATGAAACTTAGTTTATTTAAATATAGAATCTAAAAAAGTACCAAAAACTCACGTCTACCATCAAAACCCGCTCAGTATGCGTGGCAGACGACTAAAAATAACACTTTTTTGACCAAAAAAATGTTGCCAGTTCATACTGCATGAAACTTGTTTTATTTTAATATAGACTCTAAAAAAAGACCAACACAAAGGTCTGCCAACGAATATCCGCTGGTAATGCGTGGCAATCACGCCCCAAAATCTCACATTTTTGGCCACCTAAAACATGTCATTTCATACTGCATGAAATTTGTTTTATTTAAATATAGACTCCGAATAGAACAAAAAAGACTTGTCTCCCAATGATCACCCGTTGGGGGAGGGAGAGTGTGGCAGACGCGATTCAAAATATTTGTTACCACAAAAATGTTGTTTTTTCATACTGCATAAAACTTGGTTTATTTAAATATAGACCCTAAAAAAGGACCAAAAACACATGTATACCAATAAACACCGGTTGGATACGCACTACAGAAGAGACTAAAAATAACATTTTTTGACATGTATTTTTGATCCAAATTTTGACTACTTTACAATCAATCAAATTATTTATTTGAATTAAATACTTTTTTAGTGATCAGTTCATATTCAATGAAAAATGTGATTTACTTGAAAAAAACACCTTAAAACAAAACAGAAAAGCTACTTTTCGGCTGAAAAAAGGTTCATTGTTTATACAAAATTTTTTGTAGCTCTGGAGTTATGTTATCATCCTTTAAACTATTTACCTCTACTTACAGGGCAGCATGTATTAAAAAAAAAAATAATAATAAAATACGAAAACAGTACAAATAAATAAATTGAAAAACTAAATTTTTGGACTTTTTTCCGTCCTGTAAATTTGAAATGGTGCATCCTAGTAAAAAGTTTTATGTTATTAATTAAAAATATTAAATTAAACACTAAAAAATGAATATAGTAAATTAAACACTAAAAAATAAATATAATAAATTAAACATTAAATTCTGCATATAGTAGGTAGCTCAAAGTTTGGATTTGGAAGGCTCAAGTTAACTGTGACAGTCAAAAAATATTTACCTGCGATTTCGCTAAAAAAATTCCTATATAGTAATTTTCATTTGCTTGATTACTTGAAAACAGCTATTATGAACGAAAGTTGTCTAGCATAAAACTCATCATTTTGTGATCTCATTTTTTATTGTTGTTTTTTTAATTTGATCTAGGTGAAGTAAAGAAATCATGAGTTTTTATTGTTGTATGTTTTGTAGAGGTGAAAAATGTATCTATCCCCACAGATATTGGCACATTCCTTTATCAAATAATCAACAATCATCACCCGTCCTATGTATACAATCTTCTCCAATTTAAATCATCTGTCCACTCCCTCTCCACAAAATTTCAGCCTTCTGACCTTTACACCCCTTTCCATAGATCTGCTTCATTTCATCATTCCTTTATTGTCTGCTCCTCCGCCTTTTGGAATTCCATCCCACATAAAATCTGCCATGCACCATCCTTATCCGCGTTTAAAACCCTCTTATTCCAATTCCTCTTCACAATCCAATCAGACGCTGGTTAATTATGTATCGTGTAACAAGGATAATTTTTTTCTTTTCATACACCATTATTTTATTTTATTTTTTGTTTATTATTTGTGAATTGGAAAGATTCAGTATCACTTTTGGCATAGCACTGTGAGATGATATGGTGCATAAAAAATGAGAGATTGTTGTTTGTATGCATTTTTCTTTTTTTCCACCTACAAGATTGTGTATATTTTAGATATATTTCATTTCTTACATTCCTCAATTTGTATACATATATATATTTTCCTATCTTAATCTCCGTGTTTTTATAGTTTACAATACCATTACGTATTGTATAACATGTATGAATAATTTATTTTTTTTAAATCAGTTTTTTTTTTTGTCAATTGTTTTCTCATAAAATTAATTTAATGCCCCTTCCTAATTGTATTTATTTATTGTTATTTCATATCTCTTATGCTGTACTTTTGATATTTTTTCTTTTCTGGAGGTTTTGCTTTTTCTTTCTATACATGTAATTCTTTTTTTTGTTATTTTTTCAGTAAAATTATAAGTATAGTTGAGAAGATTTTATTTTATTTTTTATTAATTTGCATACTATTATTTAAGTTGTTGTATGTATTGTTTGAATCTTTTTTAAATTAGTTTTTGGCCAGATATGTATTTTTTCTTTTGTAACTGTTCATTATTGTTATTCTAAAGAGACATCATCCCAGAGAATAAAGTTTATTTTCTGTTTATATTTCTATTTCTATATTATTATTGTAAGGCTCGAAATCGGTTTTGTACCAAATATAAGCTCCTGCCATTCTTAAATACCATGAATGGGGTACCCTTTGGATTCCGAATTTCACTGGGGGTTAGCGAATCGTACTCTCCGCTTTTGTTTTTCTTTCTAAAATAAATAAAGTCGAATATAAACATTTTGCTAGGCTTCAATACTGGAACGGTGGTAAGTCTGTAGATCGATACGGGACAAATTGGGCTTTGAAGATTTTGATGTGTACAGCAAGACCCTGATAGTTCCCTCGGAACTATCGAGACCTGCGTTCTTAAGCCCAAGTACTATTTTAAAGATAATGCAAGGCAAAGGGTTCCACACAACCTTACGGTAATTGTAGTACTGTCATGGCATGCATGTCTAATTTCGTCGACTTGAGGCCCCTATGAACGAGAGAGGAGGAGTTTATATTATTTATCGAAGGTGTTTTTTGTCGGTTTCTTCACCAATTAATTCTTCACCAAATCCCAAGATTGAGTCACCAATTTTGCGGATAAAATAGTCCAATCACCCCGAAAATTCAGGCAAAAAAGTTATGAAAGAAAAAAAAATTCATTTATTTTATATAAAAGTTTACTAAATTTCCTACCAAGGGAAAAAAAAAATCATCGAAATTGGACAATTTTTAGCAAAGATACAGTTTATTGAAATTTGTTAAAAACATTAACGAGGTTTTAATTTAATTTTTGTTTCCTTTGTCGAATATATTTAGCTAGAAAGTAACAATTGATTTCTTTTATGATATGTTGTATTGTTTTATTTTCTTATTAATTTATTATTT